GGTGGGTGTACGATACATTTACGCGACCGAATCCAAAGGACGTGATAATTCCTGTAGAATTACTGCGACTGGGTCAGGGCTGCCCAGGCAAGCCAACAGCACCCACTGCTGGTCACTTTGACATTCACATTTGATAGAATGTACGGAGTTTGCCCGCTTTAAGCTCCATTCAAAACTAACAATGTTATTTCTTCACTATGCAAAATAACGAAGTGCTTAGTTGAACATCCAATAGACATCAGTTTTAAATGATGACATGAAAGTCTGTTATTGTATTTTAATATGAGAATAATAATTACAGAGCAAAATGTGTAAATAGTCGTATCATTAACATGTTTTGCCGAATTGAACAATATTTTGAGTCAAGACATTTAAAATAATTTTGAATGCATGAAACATGGCGGTAAGTTTCAACTTAGAAAAATATAAGAGGACAGAGACACTGATTTGGCATAATACACCAAATAATAGAGTAATTCCTGTACATGTCTCGTCGAATGTACGCCATTTGATTAAGGACGTTAATTTATGTATCGCGTAACAGTTGCAAATGAACGTGTCACAAGTTGAGCAAATTAATCTAACGATCGTTAAAGTGTAGCTCATTTGCACTGTTGTGGTCCCCTCGGCCACAGAGGTCCCATGCGACATCTTAAACGTTCAATTTGCCCGATTTCAAGAACGATTAAAGATCTTATATATGTCATAGCTTGTGCATAAACATGCAATTAAAAGCAATTGCTTCGCAACACAGATCACACGAAATGACACGCAGAGATATTGTCCTTTGCGGATGTATCAAGGAAGATTGAGAGTGCATCCTTCATGTTCCTTCGCCGAGACAATGGGCCAATGGGAGAGCGCAGTTAACAGTCCTGCCACCAGATGGTGTAAGCATCATTTCACAAACAGAGCACCTGCTTAGATATGTCAATATATTGTGGTGTGTGCAGTATTCGGCGAATTATAAGATGCTCCAGAAAGCAAAGCGCCACCCAAATGAGTCAATAAAGTTAAACAAATGTGTTCACACACACAACAGATTATAGAATGCAGCCCCAGCATTTACTTACAATACAGAGAACAGGTTAATCTGATAATGCAGAAAATACGGTATATATACCTGTTTTACAATATTATAGTTTCATGAACTTGACCATCAAGCTTGAGCGCCCAAAAGCACGCGCAAGTTTAATTTATTAGCAATTGGTAGCAAAACGTCCTGTGGACTGGGATTCATTTTGACTAATTCTGTCGGAAGTCAACGGGCACCACATGCTTCCAGGAACTGTTTCAATGTGCAGGAGAAACGCAGCAGGCGGTTGGGGGTGGTGGTTGTCTCCCTATGTCATCGCTGCTCAAGTTGGACGAGGTGTTGGGGGCTACCAGGATTATTCTTTCTGTCAACTAATCCACGAGTGTACGGAGAAGGAAGTGAACATCAACTGCGTTCTCTGGACACGTGTTGGCATTGCCACTCAGCTGTGAAGCGTATGCGACTTCGAAGACCGGGAAGGGATGTTGTTTCTCGATGGATATGAACGCCAAAGGCTCGTGATACCTTATTTCAAGGATACTGGCAAGAAATGTACCATATTGTAGCCGCTCACCCCGAACTAGAAATGCCCTGAGAGTGGCATTGTCTTTGTGGTGTTCGCCTTTTGGCGTTCTCTGGTCTAACACTTTGAGAATAGAAAGCTGTCTCTGGTGTGGACCAATCAGTTTCAAAGACAATGCAAACATTATCAGAGCATGTTTTTTGTTTGCATGTTCACCACAAGTATATGTGGTTAATGCAGACAGGATTCCTTGCAAAAAGTTTCTGTTCGGTGTTTTAACATCGTAAGACCTGTTTTATTGCCAGAAGGGGTAAAACCTATTATACCTTATTCCAAGCCTGTTTTGAATACTGATGTTGAAACATTCTTAGTTGTGTAACTGCCGTCAGTAGCATACTCACTCAAACAATATTTCAAATGCAACAAAAATGTCGTGCATGTGCAGACAGGTTTGTATACGATACCTTTCTAAAGCCACTGTTCAGGTTACAACGCAATGAGACTGCTGGTATGACCATACGGAAGTGTTCTTTGACTAATTTTCAGAGGGGGGCCACTTCCGCTGATAAGGCATCAGTGTGCGGGCCGCCACACATTTGAAACCATTGGGGTTTGACAGCACAATGGGGTGCGTCAGTGGCCTGCGGGCCTTGCATTGAAGAACACTGCCAGAAGGAGAGACTGGTTTGTCATACAGAATAAAATGAGTCCATATCCCTTCTTACATGAGCATTCAGACTGGCAGTCTTCTCATTTTATTGCCTTGAGCCAATGGTGGAAAATTCCACTTTTACATTGGTGGGAGAGAGCCTATCCAAAATGGGCTGACTGCAAACAACATTGTATTCATAATAGAGGTCTTTGGGTTAGATCGCGTAAAAATATAAATGTGTCGTTAACCAGCCATCACCCGATACAACTAGTAAGGCTGTGTCGGGTGGTGGCTGGTTTTAACGACACATTTATATATTTACGCAATCTAACCCAACAACCTCTAATATGGATGATATTGGCCGCGAAAGCCTACGTGCTAAACTAACGTGGTCTTCATTAAATGGACGAATCAGCCACCTGACTGGGTTAGAAGTCATGACCTTCCGATTGCAAGTTAATATATCTCACCACAGCGACGAATGGCTGCGTAGTTATAGGGGGATATATTGATCTTCCTTCCACGTTTCAATCCCTGAATCAACTGAGTCCGATTCATTTAGGGTAAAGATTCGAGACGTTGCCAACATCCCACAAGATGACTTTTACCGGGAGGGCACTGCCCAGACCTGACCAATGACTGAGCTTCCCGCTGACTTCTGACCAAAAGCATTCAGGTTTTGCCAATATTGCATTCCCATTGCAAATGAATCGTGGCGAGTATTCGGGCTAGTCTCTGGACAAAGAACTGCAATGTAAAACATTTATTTTGTGCAGGTTGGCAGCAGTAACACAGTGGTGTTGGAACAAATAATGCAGTCTCTAAATATAGCTCGTTTACAGAATGATGAAATCAAGCGAATCCTGCCTCAGTCATAAAATGGTTCTGCCCATTCTCAAATGTCTGCCTTGTGTGCATCTCCTTGTGTCTAAAACGGACGTTACATCCATGTGCTATGCGCAGCGAGTCAAGGATTCAATTCCCTTAACATAGACACATTTTGAGCAATATTCATCCATAATCTCTTATGCACGACTGCAATCTTATGTAATCATAAACCGAGGCATTTATATGAATCGGACTGTTGTTTCTTGTGGGTGGTACATTTGGCAGCAGTGGTGCGCTATTAGCACACCACTGAAGTGGTCCTGCACACTGCGCCCTCTCACCCACCCCCCATCTCTCATGACCGATACAATGTGGGGAGGCCGTTATCCAGCATACGATTGACAAAGGGTTATTCATTGTTTGGTTAAATTATGATTATGTCAGTGACAGCTTTCAACATTTGAAGTGTCACTTTGAAACGCAGTGACATTTGCTATCGATTGGTAATTCAAATACAAAACAGGTTTCCTAAAGTACTGTTATAATTTCTAATAATTTGATAGCCAGCCCATTATCCTACTGGAATTGATCAGGTACACACTATTGGTTGAGACGTAAACAGTGGTTGGCCTTATAGAGAAAGCGGTGTCCAACAGGCCATCTGTGAAATACTGGACATTATTGACATACTTCACATATGTGAAAAAGAGCTGTATAGCTGATCGGATTCCTCCAGTATGAATAAATAATAATTCTGATAATTCTGGACTTTCCATCACTGCCACATGGGCCACCAATAGCTATGAGTACTGGGCCAATGCTCAATTGAGATTTGAGACACTTTGTGGTATGGAGTTATTTATGTATTCACCAGAACAGAAACAATTGTGACTAAATCCTGACATGTAATTTGTTGAGCTATATAAGCCCCAAGGTGAAATTGGAAAGAAAAAACATCGACAAGACTTGTCCGAACTGCTCAACCTTGGAATATAAACAAAGACTGATTGTAATTAATGTATTGTGATTCTGCAAATTAATTTATCTGATTTAGAACCAATATTCCTGATGGATATATTGTAATACATTAGCTTAATTTAAAATCTAAATAACCTATTAACTAATTTCATTTTACCAGCTAAGGCCCACTGAGCTATATCTCTTTTTCAGAAGCAACCTGGCCACAAATGATTAGGTCAACTAAGTGGCTTATCGTGTGGAAATGTATAGCAGCCAAATACGCTAAACGCATGTTTATAAATGCGGAGGAAAAAATCGGAGGACCTGTAGAAAAATACACGCGACCACGAGGAGAACATGCAAATTAAAAATAAACAGGCATCAGGGTCGGGATCGAATCCTATATACCAGGCGAGGTAGTTAACATCTCGCCACCGTGACAGTAATGGAAACGGGAACTCTTTTTTTCATTCTCATGATAACACTGTTGTCATGGATTTAGATTCACATGACTTGGTCAATATGCAAATGAGTTCCATACACAGAGTGAACATGACTTGTGCAGATGGGAAAATTTGACCAGTAATCAAATCAGTGCAATTTAATTGTGAAGTTGAATTACCAGCATGCAATGACTGAGTGTCTGCAATGCTGCAGTAACTATTATCGTAATTGCTCTGTAATTGCTTTTTCTTTTCCTTAAGGGTTTCCAGATCGTAATAAATAGGAAAAAGAATATCCAATTTAATATTGATTGCAGCACTGTATATTAATGCATTTTAACTATGGCGATTGATGCTTGAAATGAGAGCGAATGTATGCTGATGAGAATCAGATTGTTATATCATTTTGCTCTTTTGTAAATTTTTACCCAAGATGTGTCCAGGAACTTGCCATTTTCCATATCCATGACAGAAAATATCATCTACGAAATAGAATGACCTCGAGTTTTTTTTTTTACTGGCCTTAATCTGATGTCTATTTCATCATCAATAAAAGTTGTTTGGGCTATGCAGAAAGACAATGGTACAACAAGCATTCACTTAAACAGTCGTGCCTTTCACTGTATGGTAGCCGATCTATCTTGCCAGCTCTGCCTTCAGAAGTGGGCGATATCACAAATGGACCCTTGCCGAGTGGCACAGCGCTAGATTGCGGCTTTGTCATCGGAAGGTTTGGAACTCAATTTCTGGTTCGTGGTCGACACAGCCCCACCAGTCCTCTGGAGTTGATTCCATCAGAAAGTGGAATTTCCACTACTGATGCACGGTTGTAAACAGGAGATGAGCAAAAACCTCACGCTCCATTGAGTAGGAACCCACTTTTTACTTTTTTTGTAACATAAATGACAAGTGATCACATTATTCGAGATAGGTATGGGCAACCCTGCACTAGTATTAAGCATTTAAGTGCGTACTTGGATTACTGTTACTTGGTAAGTAGCGGGTGATTATTATTATTATTATTGAATCATTTAATTTTAACTAAAATTAATGAAACTGATGGAAACAGCAATTAAAAGGAGAGAAATGGCCGTGTAAACAGCTTGGGGTAATATGGGGGCAGCAGAAGCAGCCACTTCCTATATATCGAGATAGAAAGCCTGCAAATACATTTCTACGGTTAAAATCCATAATTAGTATATTAGCATCAATGAGATCACTTTTAAAAACACCAATTGTGTAACATCACTGAGGGCTGTGAGCACTACCTTCCAAAGCTGAACGTCCATTGCTTAGAACATAATTGGTATAAACCACAACAACTCGCTGATCTCGTCAAGGAGCATAAACCATCCCGCGAACTCCGCTCATCCTCGCAGTGGTTCATGGCTGGCCATCGAACAAAGACGGTCTCCGCATCGCGTGCTTTCAGATGCGCTGGAGCAATGCACTTTTAAATCTAGATTCAAAACCCATTTTTAAAAACTGCTTTTTGACTTTAGTTTGTTGTCCTTCCCGCACACCTCCGATGCGCACGTTTGGCTATGTACGGTGCGAAAGAAGTCCAACATACACACATCGTGGGGTTGGGGATTAACTGCAAAACAAAACCCACTTTGTGAGGAAGTGAACAGGAGATATTGTGGGCCCTGCCGTGGGAATCTGGATCCTCCCTCAACAGCTCGGGTAAGCTAATAGTGATGGCTTCAGCCCTGTGGTTTGTTTAAGCAGGGGACATGTCGGATATTGATTGACAGTATATCCTCCAATTGATGCCAGCGTGCCCAAAATTATGACTACGAAACAACGCGATGATTTGTTTTGATCATGAATTTTGAAATATCATCCCATGCTATTGTTTGGTTTCGTCTTCCTTTAATTTCAGTGCAATGTTACGAATATTTGCGGGGAAAACTTGTGTCTGCCCCGTTACGCAACGCAATCAATGGCTACGATCGAATGCGGACGAGGAAATTGTAGCGAACAGGACAAGAAGCGCTGTCGCACTTGCGTTGCTTGCCAACCCCTCCACGTGGAGATGGCGGTGGGGGGGGAGCAAGGCGAGGGCAATGCGTTAAATCCCAGGTGGGGGGCAACATAAACAATGCAACGATACAGGCACGGGCAAGTGCTGAACAACGCGACGTCACACGACTGCAGAACGACACAGGCGCGCTCGGAATCATTCGTCGCGCTCACACGAGGCACACGCACACGAGGCAGAAGCGCGCAGGCACTCCGGCCACCGGCGCACGCCACGTGTAGGCACTTCGGGTGGGTGCTTGGGAGCCGAGCGCGATGCCTAACAGTGTAACTATTTTTTTATATTTGAGCAGGTAAGGCCCGCTGAGATATACAGCTCTTTTCCAGAAGCAGCCTGGCCACAAATAATAGCTCGACAAAATGGCTCATCATGTGAAATTTTAGAGCAACCAAATCCTCTGAAAGCACGATGCATGTTTCTAAATGTGGAGGGAAATACCAGAAAACCCGGAGAAAAATCTACGCGACCGCGAGGAGAGGGACATGCAAACTCCAAATATACAGCAGGCGTCAGGGTCGGGATTGAACCCAAGATCTCCGTATATCAGGCGAGGGAGTTAACATCTCGCCACCACGGCACCTTGTGTTCGCACTGCTCTCTAGGAGGTGTGCGTTTAGTAAGTACATCCTGAGACACGGTTTCAGGAGGGCACCCTTGCGTTTGGGAACTTTGGCCATTTCCTTTTTAAGAATGCATCGCCACTGAAGAAATTAACGCCTCTAGTGGTAGAGATGGCGAGTGGCTAAGGGGTTAGGATATTTAGCTGACACGGCAGAGATCCTGGGTTTGAAGTTGGGTTGCCACCCATGGCTGGACTGTATTCTCAGGTGTTGCGAGTTGCTGGTCTCTACCAAGTCCCAAATGTAATTTCCCTAAATATTTCAGTGGTGAGGATTAAAACGTTTAGTTTCCCTGCGATGCGATTGATATTTTATTTAGCAGGCTGTGTAGGACAGTGATCCCCCTGGTGTCTGGACTGTAAATAACTTGATAGAATCTCAGAAGTAGATCTGTGATATCTCCATCCACAGGCAAATGTGTGCCCTGCTCTGCAGGAGCTCTGAATGAATATTTTGTTTGATGCCAAAAGCACATTCTGAGAAAAATAGATGAATGTTTTTTAAGTAAAAAAAGATTTCAGAAATGAGACAACAGGACATGTTTTTTTTTAACAAGCACTTTTCTTGAACAAATGAAACTTAGCTATTGACAGATGAAATCAATCTGGCACGACAAATTGAGTCACATTGAATGTCTCATTGCGGCATCATATTGCAACAATTGCAATAAATAGAAATAGAGTATGTTTGTTGGTTTTTGTTTGCATTCTCACTACAAGTATTGTGGTTAATGGAGACATGATTCCTTGTAAAAGGTTTTTTTTTGTTGCCAGAAAAAAGGGTAAAAAACTATTCTCGTAAATAGAAATACTTTTTAAATTAGCCATTATTCAAGAAAGCCCGCAATGAGAGGAGGGGTACTGTATTAACACGATTGACAAATTCCCGTTTAAACAGTGCCTCACATTTGGTAGGAAAGGAAGGTACCAGAGAAACCCTAATGCCAGGAGGTGACATGAGACTTCATTCCCGATCTACTGGTTTGGTAAAAATGAAGTTTCATGCAAAATCCATTGTTGGGCGTCACCTCGACTACCTCGGGTGTTTAACAGTGAATGCGACCGGTTGGGTGTGAAATAAAATAAAATGATGGCCTTGGCGAGCACGGCGGTGCATGCAGGGGCACACGTGCCACACTCCTCTACTTACGAACGAGTTAGGTTCCAGAGGTCTGTTCGTAAGTCGATTTGTTCGTAAGTCCAACTTCACTGCTGTTGATTCCAAACATGTTGTACGCCGTGTACACAAAACACGAGGAATGGCTTTAAAATCTCACGTAGATGTAGAGGCCACTACCGCCATCTATGGCGCAGCGGTTGAACTTACGACTCTGTCCGAACAGACAACTGGACATACAGACAGGTTTGTTCGTGTCTCTGAACGTTCGTAAGTCGGGTGTTCATAAGTAGAGGAGTCACTGTAAAGTGGCCAGCAGGTGGGAGGGAGTACACGATGTTGTTGACTTATCTGTATGGATTTTTTTGAGTATCATGCCTCATGTGTGAATGTTCTCTGCGCACCCACAAAACGCAAACACAAAAAACAGTAAAGAAATGGCTAAAATATGCCAATAAAGAAGACTCTTGATTTGAAGATTTCGTGACTGCAGGAATCCATACTCTTTGGTTATTTCGGTAAAGTCACGTACTGTAGTTAGAAATAAAATACAATTATTAAAATTATTTCTAACTACGTGACTTTAACGATAGAACCAAAGAGTAAAAAAGACTCATGAGAAAAGAGTATTGCGAATCAGCTGCGCGTTTCTATACACGTACATACATAACCCTCGTTATTTTTGTACAGAAGACCCCCTTTAAGTTGCTGATTAGAATCTTGCAGTCAGCAGCACTGTAGTGTCGTTATCAATGCACTCACAGGCAATGGCATTGTCATGAACGACGTCAACCTTCGACCACTCACTCGGGAATTCCACGCTGAGTCACAGAGCAGTGGTCAGCCCCGGCTCGAGTTATTGGCAACGTTAACGTCTCACGCAGTTGTTCTTCAATAAGACATCATCAGTGTGTTGAGGGCCGCCACACATTTGAAATCATTGGGGGTGTGACAGCACAATGATGGGGGGGGGGGGGGTGTCTTCACATTTGCGTATTGTCTGGGGGCCCGCACGTCAGGGGCCACACTAAAGGCCACCAGGGGCCCGACAGTGGCCCCCGATGTAGGACACTGGCCTCATGGTTCGGCAGTTTATTTGGGTGTCGGCGATTGGATTATTAATTCAAGCGTGTAAATGGAAAGAAACCCCATCACAACAGAAACAACGATGCAGGCTGGAAGCGAATAGATACAACTCATACAGGCGCGCAGCGCACGTGCAAAAGCTCTCAGCCTCATGGCTCTACAGTGGTGATGAGTCCCAATGGGGACGAAATCGCACTCCGTTCCCATTGAAATGGGCACAACATCTCAAGACGCTTTCAATTGGTGGTCTAAATTATACAAATGGCTCTAGATATTTTGAGATGACGGTTTGGATGTAGCTGTGAGCTGTTGCACCTGCAGTGCTACACACATTTGTGTTGTTAAATATGATTAGCCGCCATGGTGGCAAGATGTTAACTACCTCGCCTGGTATACAGGAGGTCGTGGGTTCGATCCGACCCTGACGCCTGCTGTAAATTTTGAGTTTGCATGTTTTCTCCATGGTCGCGATTTTTCTCCGGGTCCTCCAGTTTTTCCCTCCACGTAAAAAAAGTGCTTTTAGAGTATTTGGCTGCTATAAATTCCCACGTGATAAGCCACATCGTTGAGCTATCATTTGTGGCCAGGTCGCTTCTGAAAAAAATCTGTACAATATAGCTCATTGGGGCCTTACCTGGCCAAATAAAAATTAGTTGTAGTTTTAGTTGCGTTTGATTGCTACCGTGTTTATTTCAACGCAACACACTGATGTCCTTCACAGTCGTTCCATTATACCCGACCTGGCCGCCGATGTCAACGTCGGTCGTTTGTGTCACTCGGCGCATTGGCCATCTTGTCAATCCACTGCTGGATGAAGGCCTCCCCCAGGCCCTGCAGGTCCTGCAGGTTATTTCCCTACACTTCACCACGCTGACCAGTTCGGTTGATGAGGGTGGACAGAATAGTCCTGTATTCACTGAAGTACAGAACAACACTGGTCCCTGATACCCACCCACGTATCTCTACAGTCCTATGACTTTACGTTTGTGCATGGTAGTCACCCATCCAAGCACTAGCCAGGCTAAAGCCTGCTTAGCTCATCTGTGCAATTCTAGAATTTCAATGTTGTTTGTATTCGTCACGAATATTCCTGAACAAAAGACAACTTATTACGTCAAATTATATGTCACTTGGAAAAATAAAGGAAACTGTGAACTTCCACTTATATGACAATGTTGGCAGATGTGAAGGCTTAAGCCGTTTAGTAACAACAATATGCATGTGATGATCACTATTCCCCACCTCCGAACAATGCGTCCCATTTTTAAAATATGTCCAAATTATGAATTCGTTTTTCTTATTTAGAGGGCACAAGGGTGTTCCACACGGTGTACAATGTTAAGCCTACCGAGTGACTTCAGAAGTAGTTCTGCGACGTCATTTTCTACGGGCCGTTCTCTGGTGTGATGCGATGCTCTGTTGATTGCGCGAATTCCAAATGAAACAGTTGTTTTGTGATGTAATACCAAGAGAACAAAATGGAATATAACTGGTGATAAAAGTACTAATATTTGTGTGCATACCTCATCAGCATCACAAGAACACGTCTGTTCAGTCAATCATAGAATACCAATAAGCACGGGTGGTACAACTGCGAACATAGTAAACCAATGCGCATGTGCCTTGTTCTACAGTGTCCGAGAGCACTCGCTACAACGCATAAATCTATTACCAACATCTAAAACACAGGTGGTTACATTGTTTATTCCAATGCCATGAACGCCCGCTTAGATTCCGCACTTACGCCCGCTTTTGAACGCCACATGGTATGTTATGTACATAATCACCCACGCGATGCTCGTTTCACGCAGCTTTTACGCATACCGCAAATGCAGGTAGGCAACTCGCGCCTCTCAGGTCGTACACAGCCCAGTCCCGTCTCTCCCCGTCGCATAAATCCATGCCGTTCACTCGCGCTGTGATCACCGAGCATCGCCGTCGGACACACTCTGTTCAAGGGACCAACAATGGACAGACTGACCGTGAGGCCACAGAACTACATTTCTACTAATCCCTGGCCTGCAGGTTTATTTTCTCCTCGTTTCACACGGACGTTACTTTAGTGCTGCGAAATTAACTGGGGTCATGATAAACAGGACGGTGAAAATGTGCGCGCGTCGTCGAGGCTTCAGCACAGCTGGATGAACATCGGTTTGCATTTGCAGCCGGTGGTGTGTTGACCCCTGCTGCAAGAGCCGCTCTCTCGTGTCCCGGGTTTCGGAAGCGATTTTGACACGAACGGATGCTCAGTCTCGTGATTAGCTTTCGGGTTTATGATTTCACAATAACGCAGCTTTTGAAATGCATCAACAGGTTTGCACAATACATTTACATGAATGATATTCCAATGCAATGGGATTCACTCTGCATTGTTTGTAGACCACTGTCAGTTCTGCGAGGGCTACGTATGTCACTGCAAGCACTTCAAATTCTATGCGGCAGTAAAGCATGATAGCCTGTGAGCCCAGAGCAGCTTATTTCACCTGATGTGGCATAACTTTACTGGTTTAAATTTGTTTACGTGGCCAATAACAGTGAATTATGCGATAACCACCTGAAATTAGAGGGCTTAGCAATTCATCCACTCTCATTATCCGTATAAAATAAATCTGTACGACTAAAGTTTTGCTACCTTGGGTGGCACCAATTGCTGCTCGGGCCCACAGACTCTAAATCGTGCAGAAAATGCAGGCGATGTGCATCCAGGTGTTCTCAGGCAGCATCTTCCACAATCAAAACACAAGACAACGCAGAGATGCCCCGTATAGCCTGAACAGACTTTTGGGGCGAATGCTGTTAGCGAGCACCTATGAAGGCCGGCACGACACACAAGCGCATGGGTAGCCAGCACCACGCCCGGCCGCCTTTGTCTTTCTAGTTACGATGTTTAAACAACACACCAGGTACTCATTTTAGGCTGAGTCGACCTAGGGGAGGCCCAGGACCAGTTCAGATAATCGTCACTGGTGTTGGCTGTGAACGGGAATCAAACTAGGATCACTGGGTTTATAGCTCAGCGCGCTAACCGCTGCACTGCCGCTCCCCAAACAAAACGCGCGCGCGCACAAGACACGATTATTGTATACGCACGGGCGAGTTATGCATGAAACCTCACGACACATTATGAATCAATAACTTATTCTTAGTGCATCAAACATGATACTGTACACTCTAACTGTGATCAAAGGACAAAATAAGAAAGCAAAGAATACAACTCTAACATTGCTTCAATACAGCAGCTGGCGGTTTGGCAAACACTTTCCTGCGCGGATTCCTCAAATACGCCGGTTCGAAATGCGCAAAAAAAACTTGTGCGGCAGTGAAGCAAGTTCCTTTTCAGTCGCAATGTTCTTCATCTTAAACGCTCAGTGGATTTAAAAACGAAAGGAAAAAAGGTCGTGAATAAAACAATGAGACAGATGTCACAATTGAACTTCTGTTGAACGGCAAAAGCAGCTGTTTACACCTTTTTTTATTTCGGGGACACAAAACCGTGGATCGCGTCACCCCTCCTGATTTTGAGTCGACCGTCATCGGGTCACGGAGACGCAACTTTCCACCAAAGGAGTTTCTCAGAGAATTCTCTTTTTTTGTATTTAGTCGCCCATGTCATAAAAAGTTCAAGTCCAGATTATCAGCTTTAATAAAACAGAAAAGGTACCTTTAAAAAAAGGCTTTGTTAGAAATTGCATACAAACTATTACTCGTTAAGTGTATGGGCATGGTCTTGGATTATGCACTACAGCTCATCAATCCCCCTGGACTTGATGAAGTGAGTACCACTTTGTTGCATATCAACAGTGGTTTTCCTATGCTTCTCTTATCGAGAGACATGCCCCAGCCATAGGAATGTCGAATTTCTACAACTGCCTTTGGGGGCCACCGATGTAGATCTGCAACTGCCCAACGTTCATTTGAGTGGGGGAAACACTTTGATAAAAACTTTCTGTAGAATCAGACAATTCTTCGTTTGCAACTTGGAGCACCTCCATCAGTCCAAGGACTGCTTTTTTAGAGGCTAATGAGCAGAAAGATCCAGTTCATTTCACTGCCACAGAGAGGTCAGATGTAATCACCTAATGAGATCAATCTTTTTGACTACACGAACCTGCTGGGGGCTTGGAGCAGGCGGGTGCTGGTGTTGCAGTCATCTGTCCACACACCTCTTCGTCGGCAATCTTGCCAGGGACATGGATGCAACATACGACGGATCAGCACGTCGGACAAAAACGCTTGTTCACGGATGCCTGGAGGAGAACGAGCCATTGAGCGCGACCGCATTCGTTCCGCTCGCCGAAGATAGAGGGAGGCAAGAGTGGCGCAAGCACTTTAACCCCTCAGTTCAGACGCTGCTAAATTATCGCGAAGCCTGTCCGACTCGCTGGGTCCTCAGTGCGGAGTGCTGACGAGGGGACTCAGCAGATGACGTTGCCTTGCGAGAGCGAGCGAGTCATCTCCGTGACGACAAAGAAGGTCTTGAGCTCTCCCTTGCCCTTCACCTTGATCATGCCGCGGCACTGGCAGTTGTAGCCGAGCGTCTGCAAGATGTCGCTCGTCTCCTCCGTGACCTGCACGCGCGAGCGCAACACGCGCCGCGGCGACGCGGGGGAAACGGGTTCAAGCGGGGTGGTGACGCGCGAGCCGAGACATGTGCATTGCTCACGCTGCTGCAAAGTATCAGAATCAGACAAGTAATCTATCCCGGAGGAAAATCCGATGAGCTACAAATCTTGTTTTTTCACAGATGTGCAGGAGTGGCGGGTAAGAACATTACAATAAACAATACAAAAACACGATCGGCGTGCAAAGTATAGGGAGACTGTGGCCTCACGAGATTGCTGTGGCGGCAGGGGCGATGCTGCCACTGGAATGTAAACTGCATAGACCACTGCCAATGGAATTACATCACTGGCCCTGACGTTGCCACTGGAGACGGGCACTGCTGTCAGTGCATGTGCCAGCATGTGGAGATGGCATGAGCAATACATTGTCGCAACGCTCTTCCACACTACGCACTGAGATTTCACACCTCCGATTAGCACAGTTGGCTACCTACGGTGCGAAAGAAGTTCAACATACACACATTAAGCATTGTTGGCTTTGAACTCGTGAGCCTTTAACCTTTTTTTCTAATGGGCTAAATAAAAAAAATAAAAAAATTGCGAGTAAACATTTGCCAATGTTATTGAGGTTTCTCAATGCTTTTTTGGGGAGCGACATTTTCATTCTTTATCAATCTGTTTGGCTATTGCACGCCTGGAATTACATTTGAGGAGGCAGAAAGAGGAACGTGTGGATTCGAGATTTAATAACATCATTCAAAACGTTGCAGAAAGATGGACTTGGGCGAGACGTCGCCTATAAGAAGGGATGATGGCTGATGGTCAAGAACAGAGGTGGAGTGGCAGCCAAGCAACGGGACGCATCGGAGACAACGTCCACCAATGGGGACCTTTTTACCAGAATAAAAAAATGATGGAAAAAGAAGAATAGGCTTTAACCCTTACTGACAACAAACAAAGGAGGTGTTAAGATGTTCAATCATCAAATAGACGTATCATTGCAAGGCATAACATCTGCATTAGCCACACATACTCGTGGCAAAACATGCAACAAACCAGTGTTAGACCAGATAATGGCAAAAGGCGAACAAGACAAAGGCAATGCACGTATCAAAGCATGAATAGCTTGGGATGAGCAATTATATATTTTATCAGAGCATGTTTTTTCCACAAATGTTAGGAATGATTAAATCAGCTCCTGTGTAGGTACTCGTATTCCCTGCCACTTTCCGCTCCTCACCCCTCCGCTCCTTCCCGCCCCTCCCCTGCCCATTCGGGACCGCTATGTGTGCCCTCTGTTACGGTCACTCATTGTGTACCCTCTGTTACGGTCACTCATTCCTCGGCCGTCGGACTGCCCCTTGGCATCTAAAATGTCCGTTACCGCTGTTTAACTCCGTAAAGCGCCTTCAGCTAAGGCGCTCTATATAAATCTAAAATAAGGTGAGATAAGGTTGCATCGCAGAACTGTGAGGGATGGAGACTACTTTGGAAGAGGCCTTCTTCTAGGAGCGGATTGATCATGGTTGATGATGTCGATGATGAGTAACAAGGTCAGAGATCATTACTCTGCCTCCCAACAGGCCCCTTGAGCAAACCTGAATCTTCCCAAGAACCCCCGTGCTGTCCATACGGCTGGACACGTTGACTGAGTTTCCCCAGATGTCGTACTGTGGCTTCTGTGCACCAATGACCCCAGCGATGACAGGGCCGTGGTTGATTCCTGAGAAGGATAACGTACAGGGCACACGGCGCCAGCATGAGATACATCGCAAACCAAACAAAAAAACAAATAGCCCGTATCTTGCAGCTGCATACCTGGGCTATGTGTTTCCAGGCTGTGTTGTGGCTAAGAGAGATTATCAGGCATTGTTTGGAAAGACAAGGTGACCAATCTTCTTCTTTCACACGTCTGTTGATGTAGATGCAGAGCAACAACTACAATGCCACATTCAGGTGGCCAAGCCAGCAGCGAAGTGAATCGCTGCGATGTCTCCTACGTATTTGTGGATCGAGCATTGCATAATACGTTGTACGGTCCTGTTCTGGATGACCAAACTCGCACCCTGCAGAGTTTTTAATTTTCCATTTGTGTATTTGTGTATTAGATATTCGCATCTGCCATGGTTTGTGCAGTGGATGCAGTTTAGGGTGCACCATGAGTTTCGTGGAAGAGCAAAACCAGGGATCTTCTGTGTTGGGTCTTTCAAAGACAAATCTAAGTCGTTGTTTTTAACTGGATGAACATGTGGTCTGTAATAGGATACAGTCGAGCCAGACTCGCGCCTAGGCAACGCTAGTCACTTCCCAACGAGTGGAATGCCCAGCGTTATGCCCTTTTTCACCTGACGTCCCCAAAGATTTGGAATTAAACCCTTTGGTACTTCACATGATTTATCCTCGCTGCTCTCACCCTAAGTCAGTGTTCTTTCCCTGCAGAGTTGTGTGTGTGGAGCATAATTGGTTGTGAGCTCTAAAGAACGAAGACTTACATGTTTATCGACATGTATTAATAATGATGATAATTCCACCTTTGTAACACACCTCACAGTATTTGCTCACTCTCGGACGAGCCAGAGAGTGACGCAAAAGTCACGAGGAACCACAGATTAGCGGGAAAGGCATCCCAAGCTGTGAGCCGGTGTAAATACAGGGTGTTTCAAAAAGATGAACCACATTTCAAAGCAGTATACAGGGTGTTTTAAAAGATGGACCCAATTTCAAAGCAGTATATTTCACGATGGCAAAATGTTACAGCTACACAAAAAGTTACAAACGGTTTAATGAGTTATAAAGTTTTACTAACCATTTTATAAATGCTCTATGTGCCCTCCACCTGCTGTATGGACAACATCGAGACGATAGTTGAATTCGTCCCAAACGCCTCTCTTCTCACGTGTTCCTCTGAGGTGCGTGGTCACCCTGTGCTCTTCCCCTTACATCAACAGCCTGCTTCCTCAAATTGTCGGTACCAACGACGATTGCTCTTTGACATTGGCGGATCAATGCCAAAACACCGTTGAAATGCACGCTGCACCGCAATTACGGATTCAGTCTTGCTGAACTGCAGAACGCCAAACGCCCCTTGTGTGTTGCAGGGTCACCATCTTGCAAACTACTGAGGCTAGGGGCTGTTTGTGCGCTGGGAGAGGCATCTCGCGGTCATCATTTGAAACTCTATGCTCCGCCCTCTCTATGCCCCGCCCTCTCTATGCCCCGCCCTTTCAAGTGGTAAGAGTTTCATTCATGGGCGATTCGTGGTTGCAGAGATATAGCGACTTCAAATTGGGTCCATCTTTTTAAACACCCTGAATAATCCTCTAAGCTCTGGGGTCCTCCATAAATTAAGATGTTATTGGCCAAATAAGGTGTTTCTAGATTGACTGGATTGTCCTATTAATTATGGAGTGTTGCCATTGAATGGAGTCGAATGAGGCTACAATTGGCACGGTTGTCTATGTATGGTGAAAAAAGGTTCGGCATACGTAAATACACATGATTTGTGGGCTGAAGTGGTCAAGGGGAGAGGCGAGTGAGTGGGGACTGGGAGGATGTCGCACCAACTCGCAGTCGGAAGTTGTTGAACGAGTGTTTGTTGATGACGTCCAGTTTTCCCATGAGAGCCATGGCAAACTCCACCATGATCCCGATGTGTGCGTACTGCCGCTCTGGCTCCTAGACTCAGGGAAAAGCACGCACATTAGACGAGCACGCACACACGCACACACGCAACACACACAAGGACCCCCCCTTGTGTAGCCTACACAGACTGTTGGGGCAAGTTCTGTCAGCGAGCACCTATGAAGGCCGGCACGGCACACGAGAGGGCGGTGTGACCAACACCACGCCCGGCCTCACACTCATTTAAGGCTGTGTTGACCTAGGGGAAGCCCAGGACAGATTCAGATATCACAATGATGTGCCAAGGACCAAACCAGGGTCATTGAATTCATAGCACGGTGCACTTGCCACTACAATAAAACCCAAATACCCACATATACTGTACATGTATGTATCCTCTATACACTTTATACACATCTGTATAGTTGATTTTTGGGTCAGATCACAGAAGTAAAATGTGTGTCGTACACCCTCCTCCACCCGACACGACTAATTCATGAAACTTGACACGTGAACATGTCGTTGAACTTCTTCTTTAGCAACGAACTGAACACAAACAGCAGTTTCAAAGAAACGAGTTTTCAATTTTGATTCAGCACCACCGGTGTGCGGGAGAGCAATCTCACGACACTTAACGATTGGGGTGCTGTACCCATTTGTTAAACCTCGGTCACGTGACAACTTCATTCATTCTCCATGTCAGTTGGAGGAGGATGTGACGACACGCATTTTCACTCCCGCGACCTGACCCACGACCTCAACCACGAACTGCGTCCACCGTGTAGATATGTCTGTTGAACTTCTTTAGAACCGTTAAACATACATACTTTCATACACGGTGGACTGTGAGGTAAGCGGCGCGTCGTACTCCGACGTTGAACGCCCCCCTCCTTGAGCCGCAAACCTCTGCGACGAGCGGGCAACGCGCCCATTGCTCGGCCGTGTCGACAAGCCTGGAGATCTGCTGCCGTAGCCGGAAGATATAAAAAGTACTCGCCTGCCCATTCTCTTGCCCCACCGCAGCATTGAGCCCAGTGGCAGCCATGTAAGTGCTGCCTATCGTCTTGATCTTCTCTACGCCACTGAACTTGGGCTTGGACAGAAGCTGCAAGAGAGGACGTAAATAGTAATAAAGCGGGTCACACTTGGAACCTGCGAACACAAAATCGCCCGCGTACATCGCTCAGCGGTGTTAGGTAATTGATTTTGTCTCGGACAAGATATCTATGGAGCTTCGATTAAAAGGGACTCAGCGGGGGGGAGGTGGCTAAGCACGTGATGTATGTATCACAACCACACTCATTATGCTGAGTGTGGTGGTGAGCGTGGTGGTCAGGTGCCGCGGTGGCTAGATGTTAACTGCCTCGCCTGGTTTACAGGAGGTCGTGGGTTCGATCCCAACCCTGTTGCCGGTATATTTGGAGTATACATGGTCCGTACCGTGGTCGCATAGATTTTTCCCTCCACATTTAGAAACATGCGTTTCGAGTATTTGGCTGCGATAAATCTCCACATAAGCCATTTCGTTGACTTATCATTTGTGGCCAGGCCGCTTCTGAAAAAGAGCTACGATATAGCACAGTGGGCCTACCTAGCAAAATAAAAATAGGAGAGAATAGAAAAATGTAGAGGTTTGCTTGGAACTTGGAAAATGTTTCCACAAAATATAACTCACAACCCATCGTCAATACACTGTTGGATGGAGACCATCCCGTGCCGTGTCAGTCATGGGGGGGGGGGGGTGTTAGTCATGCTTCGGCATGGTGAAAGGGGCGCTGATAACCAATTTTAGATATCACTCACCAACAGTTTTCACCATGGCCAGGGAATCTAAGTCAGGTCAGTGCCCTATATTCTGCACCACCATCCCAAATACTTATGATCACATTTCAATTGGTTTAACCACCATTTCGAAAGTAATGTTTGCCATTTGAACGTACCGGTCAGCCGCACGTGCAACGTGGCGTTGCGCACCTGCCTATTCAGCCGCACTTGGGACGTGATTGTTAAATGCATGACTGAGATTCGACCACAGCTCTGTTAGGAGGTGCGGTGAGAACGGACCTCGTCAAAGTCGGCTATGATCTCGTTGAGGAGACGTAGGCACTCCAGGCCCTCTTTGTTGACGTCCGACTCCTGGTAGAACTCTTTGAAGTCGGGGATGGAGGCGAACATCACGCAGACGCACTCGTACGACTGGTGGTAGAGGTCCTGTCATAGCAGAGCAGACACACCGCCATCGCCTGCTCGTTAGGTGCGAACTTACATACGAGGTATGCACCGACTGTTGAAGCGTGCATTCACATACTCCGTCAACACCTGGGTGGTCCTCACCTCCATTGGCACTCTAGAGAGGTAGTTGTCGACATTCCACATTACCATGGTGTTGATTCGTAGACGTAAAATTATGGATAGAATAATGATGATCCAGATTAATTTGATGATCATGGCTAATTGGTGGAATAAGTTGATTCATTGCATGATAATAATTTGATGGCATTGATTTATACATGGTTGACTTGGGTGAGATGTTGACTACCTCGCCTGGTATACAGGAGATCGTGGGTTCGATCTCGACCCTGACGCCTGTATATTTAGAGTTTGCATGTTCTCCCTGTGGATTTTTATCAGGGTCCTCCAGTTTTTCCCTCCACATTTATAATCAACATCAGCTTTTAGAGTATTTGGCTGCTATCCATTTTCACATGATAAGCCACTTCGTTGAATTATCATTTGTGGCCAGGTCACTTCTGAAAAAGATTTATATAGCTCAGTGGGCCTTACCTGGTAAAATAAAGATTGTTTATATAGATAACTGATGGGTTATCAGGGGATGGTGATAACAATGATGCCGAGTTAAACTTGGTAAGGAATTGTACTTGCTCAGGCAGTAGAAATACTAAAATTGGAATGACACAGAGAATATGAGCATGGCCCCCGCGCAAGGAGGAAATACAAATTCGTGAAGCGTTCTATAACAACAACAAAAAACATGCTCAGGAATCGAACTCATGGCCCCGGGCTCTGCTCCACCCAAGATGCCACCCACGCGTCACCTCGTTCTTGCGGTGGTGGGTGAGGAAGTGCTCTGCCACGTGCGCCGGCAGGACGTTCTCCAGGAGAACTCGGTTCAGGTTCTCCATCGTCTCGATCTCCTCGCGCTCCTTCTTGAACTTCTGCTTCCACAGGAAGTCGAGCCGGCAGTAGTACTCGTTCTGGAGGGGATTGGGGCCGCGTGGAGCGTTCACAGGCAAGCGCGCACCAACAACACGTCTCACCGCTGCTGAAACATTCCTTGACCCCCACCCACATTCTACAAACCTATGGCAGGTGGCTGGGTTTTCCTGCGAAGCGGTGCTCACTTTGTGCGCTGCTGAGTCTCACCCAAAACCAGGATTCGAATTTGGAAATATCAGGTTGCCAGTCGAGCTCTCTAACCATGGAGAGACAAGTGAGAGGTTAAACTACATTACCAGAGGGGGTGAGGGGGGAATGTGGGGGGAGGGCCCATGAGGGGTGGGGGAGTGGGCAGGGGTCAGGCTGAGATGACTCTGTAGATGTGATAATCTATGATATATTTTTAATAATCTATCTACAATACATTTGTAATCTACTGATGTTATTTTAGTGGTAAATATTAAATGTTCATAGATTTTACCATTTTAATTAAGTATATTGGCTTTTACATCACTTCCCTATCTTGTTTCAGTCACGAATGACTGAAATAAACATATTTTATTGTCTTTTTTCACTTTGTTGAACCAAAAATATACCAGCCTTTGTGACTTTAAAATGTCTGGTTTCAGTGTAATTCCCCTGCGGGAGAATGCAGCTTCCCAAATGTGGATAGGAGGTCATTTGAAGGGCGCTCAGACGTTGTTCTTCGATAGATACTTGCGTGGGCCACCCTTCCACATGGCGAGATGCAAGAGTTTCCAATGAATATTGTTTCATCTCATTATCGCATGCCAATGGCAACGTTTATAATCAATTTAGGAAAACGAAAATCGACTTTGCAAGCAGATTATTGTGCATTTCGACAAGAGTTAATATTGTCAAAGATGGCAATACATTCACTCGATATATCATGCATCCTGCTGCTTTAGTACTCAAAATAATCACATTCAACGTGTTACGTGAGAAGCAAAAACCAAACAAAATATGGACCGTATAGTTAAACCGCTGTAGTGTGTACTCCTTCAACAGAGGAGAAATATCAAAACGATCCCAATGATCTCCTGAAGCCCTCTCATGGCTGGTAGACCTCGACGTTGGCATTGAACTCCTACACATATTCCTGCTGCCATACGCAACAACGCAACAGCGAGAAGCCGGAGGCCTAGATTTGAACCCAGGACCTCAGCGGCGATGGCTCCGTTCTCTGACGACGTAAGAACTGTCCGAGCCACTCAGCCACATCCCATCCAAGCAACAAGCAATCCCTCACTGAATCCCCATGGTCCTGCAGACGATTGCCCTGCTCCAGCTGCCACGTAACAGGGATTTGACAGGTGTGGCTCACCAGGGTCCCAGCTTTGGCCCTCGGCTCATTATCGTCATCACAGTGAGCGGCGAGAAAATGTTTGAAGAAAAAATGAAAGAATAGGCGTTAACCTTTCTGGCAATAAAACAAGAGTTGTGTTAAGATGTTCAAACACCAAATGAATACCTATTGCAAAGCATCGAGTCTGTATTAACCACACGTACTTGCGGAAAAAAACATGCAAAGAAACATGCTCTGATAATGTATGCGTTGTGTTTGAAACTGATTGGCCTACAACAGAGACGGCCTTCCTTATGGCCTAGTTTCAACATTGTTAGACCGGAGAATGCCAAAAGGCGAATAGTGCAAAGGCAAGAAAAGTATCAAATGTATTAATAGCTTGGGTTGAGTATAGATAGAATATTGGAAGTCGTATTTCTGTGGCCTTCCTCAAGAGATTTAAACATTTTGCCATGGGGTCTCTGATGCAATTTAAAGCCCTGTCCATCAGATCCGCTTAATTTTCCACCACTGTGCCTGAACTTTGTGACCCCAATTGCCTCTCGGGAGCACGTCACGAATGACGCGTGATGAGGGGAGAGATGGAATCAAAATAATCGCGATAGGTTTATTGATTCATTGAGCCGTGCAAATGGATGGATCAGGAGAGCAATTGTGCGACGTGTGAAATTCAATGCAATGAAATAACCCGATCAGATGAAGAAATACTTTACATGCAATTGGAATGATACCATGAATGTAGAATTGTGTTTTTATTTTCCTCTTTAAAAAATCAGACGGAACTAATTTTAATTAATCACTGTTACCTTAAGCATTCATGCTGTCTCATTTATTTCACTCGTTTTTAGCAACGTACAGAAACAATGTCAACATTGAGTCGACCTCATAACTTCCCAAACTTCATGTTAGATTTATCTTCCCACCACGGTGCAGGCTTCCATCATATATGTTTACAACTTTTCTCACTTTAAGAAAGATAAATGATTTTTGTTTCTCCGAATCATATTTCAAATCTGCAATGTCAGGAAAGAAAGCAATATGCATTTGGAACTCATGCAGCAAGCAATGCATCGCCTTGCATGATAGAACTAGTTCTGGAACCCTAAACTTGGTCTTTTATCCACACTACGCAGCACACATTTATATATCGGAATCAGAATCTGTATTTATCCTGGATAAATCCGATGAACCATGAAGCTCTTTTTTCACAAATGTCCAGTATTATGAATGAATCACAAAGAATATTCATTGCATAGCAGTCAACTTCCGCTTCATGCGATGTTGTTGCCTCTCCTCTGCTGCTCCCACGATATGGAACTCCCTTCTCCCCCAGCCATGCAATGCGTAACCCGCCGATCTGCATATGAGCAAAGACGGAAGGCGAACGTGGGGAAAGGTGGACGGTGGAAATTAAGTACCTGTCTAGCGAGCACCAGCAGCGTGAAGAAGAACACGATGAGCCAGATGGAGCCCATCACTTTGACGTCTTTGAGAACGCCAGGCCTGGAGCACAAGCAAGGGGCAGTGAGGGTATCAGTGAGGGGTGATGCATGAAGCTCCATTGTTCCATGACCGTACACTCATTACACACAAAGTGCTTGCCACAAATCAACCACAATATCTTGCAGCTCTCGTCAAGGAGCATAAACCATCACACAAACTCTGGTCACCATCGCAGCAGCAGCAGCAGCAGCAGTTTTTTGGCTAATCATCGAACAAAGATGGTCACTGCATTGCGCGCTTTCAGATGCACTTCTGCGGCTGTCTGGCATGCTATTCCTTTCGTTATTTGGAAGCCAATGGAGCTCTGCATTCTTAAATAAAGATTGAAAACGAATTTCTTTCAAACTGCTTTTTGTGTCTAGTTTGTTGTCCTTCCCCCACACGTCCGATTAGCACGGTTGGCTACGTACGGTGTGAAATAAATTCAACATACACACGTACGATCGGGTGCAATGCCATCACGTTGTCAAGAAACAACGTCAATCTACGGGACTTGCAGCTGCACTCCAAACTTGCCTTTGGAAGTTACCAACAAAACTGGAAATGTAATCTCTCACACGCTGGCTTGCAGCTAAATGAAGGCGTGCCACCATTAGCGAGTTCAGGTTCCCCTCCATGCGCCGGGCTCCGGAGACGAACACCGAGCAGCTGACAGCAAAGTGCTGTGATGTAGGAAGCCGAGCGACCTTCAGTGGCGGCTGTGATGACACTAGAGGGTGCTATGGTGCTCTACCTCAAAAGTCATCAGGCTGCAACTATGAATATGTTTTTCTCATGAACAAAGCTGACAGCCTATGTGTGTAAAAACCTCTTTCGCACCGTACGTAGCCAACCGTGCTAATCGGAGGCGCGATTTGCACGGTTGGCTACGCATCGTAAGCCTACGATACAGACCTTATGGTAAAACGAATTAAATAAATCACGGCCCTTTGTTTATCCGCTTCTCAATGTAGGCCTCCCCATGCCCTATCAGTCACGGGGTTCTTACACCATACTTTTCACCACACTGGTCAGTCAGTGCAGGATGCTGTGTGGAGAAAATAAGAGTCTATTTTAGTTTTTTTGGGGTTGCGTGGGGGGAGGGGGCGTGATGGATGTCAGGAAGATTGCGGACAACAGAGACATGGCATACATCAGAGCATAAACACAGCTGGGATGCGACTGCCCAGTTGGCAGCGGCAACTCTTCTGCGATAACAGAAAGCAGAGGAGAGTGCCAAGGCAGATAACACCACGATTTGGCACAGCGGAGGTAGCAGGTGGTGCATCTTTCCGTCACCCCAGCGCCTTAACCCACAACACCTGGGTCTGTCCTGTGATCTCCTGCCAGCGAGTACCCACCATCTCTGGCATGGCCTCAAAGTAAAACCGTGCCTGCCACGTGCACCAAGGGTGATGTCTCTCCCCCCGCCCCCGCCCCCCACTTATTGCAGCCGTACTGATGGGGGAATAGGAAAAGTTAGAGTGGAAGAGCAACGAAGCAAGATACAGCATCACACGTGTAGCAATGATACGCGGCTGCACGTCGCAATGTCTAGAGGAGGGGAACTGTTGCCGTGGTGTTACCCAACTGGTTACCAAACTGGAATTTCAAAACACGGAGGTTGCCGGTCGAATTCGATTTTCCAGCGCGGCATTTAAAACGACGGAGGGAGTTTGTCAAATCTCCCACACCGCCTCTGTCTTCCCGGCAGTACAAATGGGTTCACCACCGTTATACGAATCAGCAGGTCACGTGGAGTGGGGAAGGGGTGGTGGGGGGGGGGGTAAAGTGTGGGTACTCGCACCTCTTCCAACATGTCTGGTTATGTGGAAGAGTAGACCAAATACCCTCGAGACTTTGCTGTAAGTGTAGGCCCTTCCACAAGCAGTGGACCTCATGCATGCTTACAACTGTGTTGCCCGTTCACCTCTGCAGGTCTTGCATCGTTCCATTTGTTCCCTGTCTCGAGACTAGTGGAATTCAATATCGTGCTGGTTGTATTTTAGGGCTTGCGCGGTGCTAGCTCGACCCCATTCAATCTTGTGCCCCCTTCAAGTTCTTTAAGATCTGCCGATGGTTTCCTTCGCGACGAACCTCGATCTCGCCTGAGCTGTGGGGGTGATCGGCCATTCGCTGTGATGCCCCTCCCCAGTCGTCAATTGTGGAACTCCCTACTACTGGCGTGCCCCCCCCCCTCCCCCTTCTCCCCCATACCACGTCTTATTCAAACAGCGGCTTCGTTCTTCTGCCAGCCCGGTTCCTTCTCTCCTACGCACGACGCCTTGAGGACTTTTAGCGAAAAGGCGTAGAATCAGTGCAAACGATTTGTGACCGCATCGTAGATCACCCCCACCGCCCCACTAATGAGGCCGTGTGGACTTTGGACGATTGGTAAAACGGCAGGCCACCTGCCATCTGATATAATCGCATTGTCCCTCGGCCTTGTTTTTGTTTAAAAATTGAACCATAGGGGGCTCTAGGCAGGCAGGAGAGCAGTGGGTTCGGATGGTAGAGTGAGATGAGATGATACTGAAGATGGAAATGCTGGGTTCAACGTTACATATGAGCCCCCCCCCCCCCCCACCAACGATTTCGCGTAGACATCTGTGAGCTTTACGGCTCATCGGATTCCGGCATTATAAATACAGGGTGCTTCAAAACATCTTTAACGCTTATATGGGACTATCGTTTTTAATGGAAAAAGAACGAATAATACACAGCAACATGATAAGAAATGTATGTTAATAGCTTTAAAAAGTCAAAGAGTCTCCACTTGATCACTAACATTGTCAACACATTCCTGGAATGTTCTCCAGGTGTTCTCCAGAGCCCGGAGGAGGCACATTTCCTGTGTTACTGTTGCAAATTCTCCGAAGTGTTAACATTTTTTTGAAGCACGCTGTTTTCTGATTCTGTGACGACGCAGCAACGTTGTCCCGCGCGCCCCTGCGAGTGCGTGAGCTTGCGTGTGTGCAAGCGAGCGAGCGCTGACCGCACGAGGCTGGGGTGGTAGAGCGCCTCGGTGTAGGCGTCGAACACGCCGTGGTGCGTGTGCAGCAGGATGACGTTGTAGCCCACGACGGCGGCGAGCAGCGTCAGCACCTTGAGCTCGTGGTTGACGCGCAGGAACACGGAGCACGACACCAGGCCCAGGATGCAGCTGTACAGGAAGTACTGAGCACGCGAAGGGATGGGGAGCGGTAAAGCGACGAGTCGTTGCTTGAGTTACTTCTCGTCGCTAGCCCACCGGCGGTCACTCACCTCCTTGTCACTCTTCTATCGCTACTGCTGCGGTTGCTGCTTCCGTTAATGTCACTTATCGAGTCCTCCGCCCGTGTCATGATTCGGTCCACCCGAGAATTTCGACTGTGTATATGCGTGTTGAACTTCTTTCGCACCATACGTAGTCAACCGTGCCAATCAAAGGTGGGAACCGTGTTCAACCAACAACCACAGCACTGCAGATCACAACCTGCCTCTTTCTGTTTCCTCCCTTGCAGTGTATCCACGTTGTCTCTTTTTCCCATGTTCTCACAGACTTGCTCCAATTCAAGAAATTCGCAAACACTTATCTACCACAACTTTATACAGTGCTGCTTGTTGCTGGCCGCTTTCTGTGTTGTGTCTTTGGGCCTGTGCTCGGCAACTTTGATTTAGAAACAGACGCTATTACACAACCCTACAGGGTGACAACTGTGAAATCGGGAGCAAACGCGTTTTCAGTGTGTAAGAGGAAGACGAGCAATAAACAAACAGTTTACATGACATCGTATTGACCGTTATGTACAGTGAGAGGGCTAAGACAGGATACATCCCTTCGAAAGGATGGTGACTGATGGACGAGGCTGGTGATGGAATCGCAGTCAAAAGAGGGAGCATGCCTGAGAGGAACACCATCGTGGAGATGGTTGTGATGAGATCGAACTAAATGGATTGCGGCATTGCAAGACGGCTAGAAATGGCGATGGCAGAGGGCTGTTAGTATGTATGTTGAACTTCTTTCGGACCGTACGTAGCTAAGCGTCCTAATCGGAAGTGCGACTACGGCTGATGATGTATCCATGAATGTGGCATCGGTGTTTGGCACAGCTGACGAGTGTCGGTATGTGAGTTGTACGTATTTCGTTCCTCACCACAGAACACATTCCACTGAAGATATTTTGACGTCTTCGGTGGAAGCGTCCGGTGCTGGAGGGTAAGCCCCCCCCACCCCCCAGTTGGGATTATTAAATGGGAGTTAATGCTTAAAACACCGCTATTTGAATCATTACTAAATGACAGTTCTGTTCCGCGCTCCCCCGCCAAATTATTCTGCCAATCATATCCAGTTAATGCAGACGGTTTGAGGACTATATTCTATATTCTTGGTTCTTTCGGTAAAGTCACACAGAAGGGAAATAATAAGATAATACAAATTAACGAGGACTGCGAGGGAGGGATGTGATGAGAGTGTATTGAATCCCCACTTCATTTTATTTTAAAAAATTGAGGAGCAGTAATCTTTCATGAAATAAAATGAAGTGGCAGCGTTGGCTCAGGATCTGAATGCGCATCAAAACACTGGAGACTGGGGGGGGGGGGGGGGGTTAAGTCCGGGATTCCGATCAGGGTTATGATAACAGCAGATGCTTAAGTGATGGCCGGTCACGAGGAATAACAAAGTTCTCCTGTGCGACTATATTTATATTGCACATGTACACACATGTATCAGTCCACTGCTGGATGAGGGTCTCCCCATGCCATGTGGGTCGTGGGGGTTATTTGACCATACTTCACCACAACACGTGCGAGGGAGCAACACTCTATCCCATACAGACAGAGCAGGAGGAGTCCACATTTTGCTGTACTATCTTCTCCTGGAGCCAGGTCATGGACACCTCCTCGACGCTGATCCAACAACCCTCACCTCCGCAGTGCAGGATTACAGGGTGAGATGTTAACTACCTCGCCTGGTATACAGGAGGTCGTGGGTTTGATCCCGACCCTCACCCCTGTCTATTTGGAGGTTGCATGTTCTCCCCGTGGTTGAGTGGATTTTCTCCGGGTCCTCCAGTTTTTCCCTCCACATTTAAAATCAACACGCATTTAGAGTATTCGGCTGCTATAAATTCCCACATGATAAGCTATTTCACAGGGCTATCATTTCTGAAAAAGAGCTATTTAGCTTTTTAAAAAGAGCTATTTAGCTCTTTTTCAGAACCTGGTAAAATAAAAATTAGTTTAAATAGCTTAGTTTACAGCCCATCTCTTCCCTTTGCCCGCGCCGATTGCGCCATGTGATGCAACGCCTGGGGTTGTGCGAGGAGCCCACCGGCAGGTAGAAGTGTTCCCTAGCGCTGCTCACGCTCGTGAAGCCGCTGTCGTTGGCGCTGGAGCTGTTGTCGGTGAAGTTCTGCCAGGTGGGAGACTCCACGGCCGGAGAGAAAAACTGCCAAACGGACAACGGCGCCAATCGCGTTACACGGGACAACTCGGAACCCATCCAACACGAAGGCGGCAGCGTGTGAGAGATATGTTGCCAGTTTTGTTCTTAATTTTCAGTGGCAAGTTTGGCTCAATATTTTTAGGCTTCGTCCATGACGGAGCACGGAGACAGCCAGACATGAAAAGGGGGGGGGGAGGTGAACAGGGATGTATTTGTATTGGGGGGTCCCCTGAGCAAGGGGCCCCCCAGAAAGTTACAAGCAGATATATTTAGTCTAATTGACTAAGTAATGTATTCATATTATTTATATACACTCCACATTATTGTCATTTACATAAAGGAAAATGGCGACACATTAACGATACAATGCAAACTGAACCAATTGCTATAGTGAAAGAGTGGAGTACATGGCTATGTAATTGTGTGTTTCATATCTCAGCTAACCTTTCATTACAACTATAATGAGCCAAGAATGTCTGTTTGTGTGTAACGCGCGTGACGTCACTCCACATGCCGCACCCCCAGTTATTAATATTCATGAGCGGGTGGATTTTTACACTCACGCAGAAGGTCGAGCGTAAATATTTTTTTTCCGCAAATTCGTTTTAAGTTTGACGTTTCTTTCTTGAATGTGAATCTAATAAATAATTCTATGCCGGAACAAAGTGGATTTGGTGTCTTTATGTATTTCTTCAGCACTTGAGACAAAAGGTAAGTCTAATTTATGCTTCTACATTTTGGTAAAATAGACATTTCTCGGTGATTTTCCAGATATTGTATCGATTTCCGATTTATTTCAACCCCAGCGACCGAAAGCAGAAGAGAATAAAGTATCAGAGCAGTGAATTTGAACAAATTGAAGGTCAGTTATATATAGTGCTACAGTGACATGAAGTGAGGTGTTTTATGACTTTGTTTTGTGCAAGAATCACTGCCATTAATACAGTGCTACAGTGAAATGCAGTGAAGTGTTTGATGACATACTTTCGTGCAAGATTCACTGCCATTAAATTTACACAAGATACAATTATACTCTGCTCAATTTTTTTGTAAATATTACAGCTTCCGTCCTGGGACGGGCAAATAAGCTAGTGAATATTAAAATGTCAGGTATAGTCCAAGCCTGGGTAAAGTTGAGAACAGCGATGGGGGGTGAGAAGGGAGGCACCAAGTCAACATCATGATCATTGTGAACCGGGCCCCCACATTATAATAAACGCTGGGCTCCTCGATGCAAGTGCTGTGAAGCTAAGGTTATACATGTTGCAATGGTCCACCCAGCATTGATGTTGAGCACAGCATACGAGGTACTAGTTTTAGTCTGAATCTACCTTGGATAGGCCCAGACCAGGTTCAGATACCAATTGGTGCTGGTTTTGTGTATCATGACAGGAGTTGAAACCACGACGATGGGTTCATCATAGAGGGCACATCACCACTGTCCATACACTAAAAACTCTCCATATACTAGAGGCCACGTGCACAAACTGCAGTTCCACCTGGCCAGATTGCCACAATGAGACTACTCCTCATATATTTATTCACAAAGATCCCCGTATAGCCTTAACAGAGTGTTGGGGCAAATACTGTTCGGCACTGTGGCACACAAGAGGGTGGGTAGCCATCACCATACCCGGCCGCTTTTTACATCCCGAGTGGTGATGTTTAAACAATTCACCAGATACTCATTTGAGGTTCAGTCGACATAGGGTAGGCCCAGGACTGGTTTATATTATCGTCACTGGTGTTGGCCGTGAGCGGAAATCAAACTCAGGTCGCCAAGTTTGTAGCGTAGTGAGCTAACCACTACACTTCCACTCCACGCAATATATGTATATACAGACACACAGCTCACCCTAAGTGTGTCCGTAGAAATATTAAATGTTGGAGCAGTAGCACCATAGGATAGCGCACTGTGCTATGAACCCAGCGACTTGAGTTCGATACCAGGTCATGGCTAACCTCAGTGGCGAGTAATATCAGAACCGGTGCTGGGCCTGATACCTTCACCAACTGGCACTGACCAGGATGATGAAGTACAACCGGACAACCGCTGTGACTGACACCCCTTTGGGAGGCCTTAATCAGTGGACTTACAAAGGGATGTAAACTAATATTTTCACTACACTAATACCCTGACGGAAACGCACTTAACGCGCACACACGTTCACGCGCGCAACGCAACAACGGCACGGGCTTGGGCTCCGCTAAAAAAATGTGTCTATTCCCTCGACGGCCCAGGAGCCCCTCCGGTAGACCCACCATGTTGAAGACGGCCATTGTGAGGATACTGCCCATGGTAACCATGGTGAGGGCCAGGCGCAGCCAGGGCTTCTCCTCCACCGTCGCCGACACGGAGAGCATCCACGTGAGCGACGGCGACGCCTTGCGGCTGCACTGCTGCTCCGGGGAGGCACCGCAAGAGCGACAGTTGGGTTACATTTTTAATGTTCAGAATCAGAAATCGAAGTGTTTGTTTACACCGGGGGAATCTGATGAGACATGAAGCTCTTTTCACAGATGTGCGCGGCATTCCTACAGCGCCAGGGTCTCGCGAGGTGCTTCCATGTTTCAAAGACGGGTATAGCCTGTCCGTCGGGAACGGATACCGCTATGTGTTTTTTTCCAAATTGAGTAACTTTGTGAGTAAGTTGCACGTGTGCATATTGCGGACCGTGATGCCGGCACACATGGCCTACCTTCTTTTTATAGTAATGTAACGGGATCTTAACAGCATCCACCATTAAGGGGACAGCACGAAGTAGTATTTCTTGTTATCATTAATACGCCTGCAGTATTATTTAGGGTGGCCAATGGGCTTGCATGGCGAACTTCTGCAACAAGCGGCGAATGCGCTACCACGGGGCCAAGTGCCGTGCAAACAGTGGCTGTAACCCATCAACACCCATGGAGCGGAGGTTACCCTTTCTCCTCTGCTGCCCTCACAGTCTTCAACCACCCTCTCCCCCCTGACGACTGTCTGCACCCTCAGTTGAACTCCGGATAATTTCTGCACATGAAGCTGCCACTGTAGATTCTGGATTTGAATATGGATTTAACTGACGTCCATTTAAACTGTGTTGTCAAGTATAATAATGATCATAATTTTGATTCACAATAGCATCTTCATACTATAAGCATCTTCAGATGCTGTACGGGAAGAGCTATTTATTTCAAATAATGTGGACAAAAACCCAAAATAATCTAAACTAGCCACAGTAACCGAGAACACAACAGTAAAACACAATGAAGTTCAGTCCACATTACGTACAATATGAAGCCAAAACACAACTATCCGACCGGTCATATTCAAAACACATTCCTGTAAGTGGAACCCTATTCAATGGGTTACCACAATCACTCGCGACCACCTCCGAGTGGCCTGAAACGGACGTACACTCAGAGGCAGAGGCAACGCGGAAGGCTGCTGAGTCTGGACTGAATGAGGAGTGGGGAGTCAGAAGCCACCACACACGTGGGGCTTTAACGCCCTGAGAATGATTGTTTGAGGGGCGCTTAATACGTTTCGATTGTTAGTATTACAGTGAGCGAGAAGCTTTCAATAGGTGTTGGTTATTCAAGTAAAATTATGAAAAAAGAGGCTTTAAACTTTCCGGCAATAACACAGGTGTTAAGATGTTCTAACACCAAATACACACCTATTAAAAGGCATCAAGCCTGCATTAACCACACATGCTTGTGGTAAAACATGCAAACAAACGTGCTTTGGTGATGTATGCATTGTCCTTGAAACTGGCCAGAGACAGTCTCGTTTATGGCCTTGTCTGGCCAGTGCTAAACCAGAGCACAGAGACAATGCAAGTGTAAGAGCACACATAGCTCGGGTTGAGCTGTTATATCAATGGGATATGGTCCCATAGATCAGATAAAATGGGAAATAAATATTAAGGAAAATTCTTTCAAATGCGTTCTATTTCACTTAAGAGCAATAAGACATGGACGTTCATACAGATAACATAATTTTCGTGAAAATCTTTTTTCTTAACACGAGGATTAGAATGGTAACTAACGTTACATTCGTGTAGAGTAATCTCATTAGTTACAAAAAATGGCACGTTAACTTTTTTTTTTACGCACACGGGCACAATGTACTGATGCCGACTAAAACGTCCCGTCTGATAAGACGTACGACAAGCGCCTGCAAAGCCACTGGGGGTTACACTTACGAGCAGCTGCCCAACGACGCAGACGCAGAGAATGAACCCGAGAAGGAGGAAGACCACCCCGTACGATATCCCGAGCTCTGCTGTCCTGTTCACCCAGGGGAGCACAGACGGCAGGGTTTCACGCACACGTGCATAGCCCGAGACGTTGTGATCTCAAGTCACGGAATAGCCTCAATGGACTGTTGGGGCAAGTGCTGTTACGAATATCAGCACCTATGAAGCCCGACACGGCACACGAGAGGAGGGGTGGGTGACCAGCAACCACGCCCAGTCGCCTCTGTCTCCCTAGTAGCACCAGGTACTCATTTGAGGCTGAGTCAACCTAGGGGAGGCCCAGGACTTGTTCAGATATTCGCGACCGATGTTGGATGTGAGCGGGAATCGAACTCGGGTGAACGGGTTCGTAGCGCAATCCACTAACCGCTACACTACCGCTCCCAGGAAACACACACACACACACACCAAATGTCAACAAAACTCAAGTTTCGCTGCAATTGTGCTCTTCTTGCCACGTGTAAGATGTTTGTTCAACAAGCAAAATTCGTCAAAATCAAGACAGTGAATAAGTGCGGTACAACATTGCATATCCAACTCGCTGGGGACCGCGGTACAGGTGGAGACGCAAAGAGGTCAGATTCGTGAACATCTACAGACAACGACAGTTACACCCTGCACAAATACTGCAATGGATGCGGGCGGGTGATTGGTCAGGGTGGATATGTATGTTTAACTTATTTTGCACCGTACGTAACCAACCGTGCTAATCGTGATGGTTGGATATGCGACATTGTACAGTATTGTAAAATAATACCTGCTGCTCTAGTTCATTTTGATAAATAATATAAAAAAAATATTTTAAACAGGTAAGTTTTACAAGGTGGTGGTGTGTGCTCCTTTGGTATATTGGGTAATAATAAAATAAGTGACTATATACTGTACAGATATGCTGGCCAGGTGCTGCTGTGTTTGGAGTGCTCAACTAACAAAAAGTTGAGTTCAAATCCGGGGTCAGGGGTCAACCCAGCACATTAACCATCTGGGGTTTTACAATGAGTTAAAATGTTTTGGAAGTTAAAGAGCACTTCTCATAAAGAGGGACTTGGCTCCTACTCTGTAAGTGTGTCATGTCCACAACTAGATATGGAATGCCGATGGAGAATAGCGCTGCACAAATGCTCGTTTGAGCAGGGAGATGTTTAAAGCTTGGCATATATGCATTGCTGTACGCTACTAACTCTACCAACCATGTTCCAATTCCTGGTCATGGTAAACACCCAGCGGAAATTGAAGTTTGAGCCTGGCCTGGGAGGCAGATAGCATTAAGGGGATTTGGAATTGTGCCGGTCGCCACTACCCTAGATCGTGTGCTACGCCATCCTCAATCGGTGCTCATGAACTGCACTTGGCCCAATCGTAAGATACGCATGGGGGATATATCATTGTACTCACTTGGGCACCACAAATATCTGAACAACAAAGATGCAAAAGAAGATGAGGCAGGCACAGGATACGTAGTGCTTGATGTCTGGAAGTGTGGTATTTCTGTACTGCAATGTCCAATAACACACACACATCATCCCATTCCACACACAGCACACACAACATCCCAATCCACAGACAGCACAAACAGACACACATATTAAAAAAACATAACATGCAGGTGACCCTTGTAATACAAATATATTTACATGATCAAATTGACCCACGCATTTACAGTATACGATATTGCAATGTGCTGTATCCAATTATTAGTCAAATCGATCTGTATGCTCTCTCAATGCTGGCGAGGGTTTCCAATCCCTGATACAAATTAAACATTCATATTTTATCAAGGTGAAGAGGTCACAACGGCTAATACGACTGACGTCAACACATCTTCATAATGCTTCCTTCCTTCTGCTAGATTCCTCAGAGTTTGTATAGTTGACTCCCAGCCTCCACTGGCTGCCCTTAAAGTGTCCAGCCATGGAGCGCAAGGTCTTCCCCTTTGTGATCTAAAGGGGGCAGCTCCAACGACTGCCCCAGGACACCTGTACAGTCCACCCTGCATGGTAATGCGCGCAGCATTGCAACCACCTCTTCCTGAGCATGTTAACAATGTGTTTTTGACACAGTCTACTCCAAAACTTCCAAGTGTCTTAGCCTATCCCGCGTTTACATTTCGAAGCAACCTCTGCATGGCCTTACATTCAAAGGCCAGACACTGCTTTTTATAGCTGCTTTCTTAGGTTTAGCTCTCTCACCCATAAAACAGCACAAACATTCTTCCAGCATCTAAACGCATTTATGAATCCAAAAGTGGCTATATGTATCCTATCCAAGACCCACCCTACTTACCCAATTGTTTGTTTTTAGTACGCCACCACTGATTGCCCATGTAATCGCGCTGTGAGGCTTTGCGGCTTTGCCCAGGCCTGGGCTCGCTTCTGTGCTCACTATTGAACGATGAACCCACCTCTTTCTCGAAAGCTCTGTCGTTGAAGAAGAGTGAGAATCTCTGGATGTCCTCTGATTTGAGCCACTGCCTGTGGAGCAAAAAAGGTGAGGGCACAAGCATGGATAGGAAGAAGAGGGCGCGCGATGGCGGAGTTTAGTGATGGACGAAGCAGCAAATATAATGGCCTAATGATTGGCTGTACAGCAACTTGGTATAAGAGTTATCTGTGTAGCTTATGAGTCGTTGTCCTCCAGGAGAGCTCTTGCCCACTTGTAGTTCCCCATGTAGTGTGAGTTTAAAACACCTGCTGTCACCCCTATGGAGTGAAAGTCCGGTCAACATCAGCTGCGAGGTCCACTTCGAGGTTTGTTGTTTGGGCACGTTGCAACACTTCCTCGTTTGTGATTTTTGTCATGCACAATTAGCCAAGCATAATTGTCAGTAGGCTTTCAGTTCAGGGTAAGGTTTGTATAGCGCGGTAATCAACAGTAGGAGTGTCGTTCTAGAAGCATGAAAAACTCACACAATGTAGATTTACCTCTGCAAACTCTTTCCACATTGAAGATAATTTCCAAAGACTATCTTTTCTGTCCACAGCTTATGCACAATTCTAGATTTGAAGCTTTCGTGACTGCAAGGATTCATATTCTTAGGTTTTTTCGGTAAAGTCACGTAGGTAAAACATTAAAATTAATAAAATAAAAATAAAATAAAAATCACGACGTTTCGGAGGCAACACAAGCTTCCGTCTTCAGGTGGAACCGTCACAGCCACGACAGCTGTATCAAGTAAAGCACAGCGGGGCAACTCGAGGCCCCAACCCAGTGAATGGGAAATGAGGCATTTTATGTTTTAATGAATGTCCCCGCAGTTTATTGCTGCCGGAGTGCAGTAATAGCTCACAGCATTTGCAATATTAATTTGAAATGTACTCATTTCAAGTGTTTTTAATCTCTCCAGATAAAATAATAAATGTGCCACAGAGAGTGTGCTGGTTTGTTTTTCCATCTACCAATTGGCACTGTTGCTTGATAACATTAAACAAAACAACAATCTCCCTCGCTGAACACATCGATTTGAGCACTGAATTCCCAATTGAATATAATGAGTTAAAATCGCAATGATGGATCAACTAAGCCCATCATTCTTTCCAAGGGCAATAACATGTCTCTCACCAACTGAAGCACGTTCGCTCAATTTCCTACCATAGCTAACATCAGTGGCGAGTGATACCTTAATCAAATCCAAATTGACTCAAAATGTCTTAGTGCTGTATATAGCCAGAAAACCCTCATGATTGACACAGCATAGGGAGCCCTGTTAACCAGTAGCAGATTGACAAAGGGCTTCATAATAAAGTTTTTTGGGTTAGATCGCGTTATTATAAATGTGTCGCAACCCTCCACCACCCGACACGGCCAATCAGTAAAAAAATTGTGTCACGTTAACAAAACGCCACTTACTTCCTTCTTCAGCCCACCGGTGTGTTTGAAGAGTGAATCCACAACATTTACAATTTGAGTTGTACGACGTTTCGCTGGTAATTACATCCAGCATTTTCAGGCGATTTGCCAGAATAGTGAAGCCATCCACCTGCTTCCGGTCTTAAATAGTGCAGGACAACGTCATTATTTTTGAACCCCACCAGGTTTCGAGATCAGAGGTGGAGGTTGGGGGAAGGGTATTGTAATTATATAATAGATTAGTAATCAGTTAATTAGTATATGATTCCTCTATAATGAATTGTAATATGTATTGTGTATTACGTAATAATACGCTTCCAGGCTGCACTAAGCCTGTAGCTATCAGAGCGGTTAAAATTATTTGTATTCTTCTCAATTTCGATGGATTCTCTAATTAGTCTTGGCCAGTAATAATTAGTTTTGCATAACACTTCAACGTTATCAAAATCAATTGAATGTTCTTGTTGGCGAGCCTGTTCTGCTACTGCCGACAGTTGTGTTTGAGATAATTTAATGTTCCTTTGGTGTTCTTTTAGTCTTACGCTAATGTTACGTCCCGTCTGTTCAATATAGCATTTACCGCATTAGCAATTGATCTGATATACAACTTCTGTTGATCACTTTGGTAATTCATCTTTAGTTTTTTTTTAATTTTGTGTACCATACCAAATTTTACTTGAATGTTTTGCTTTTGCAAAACACGGGCTAATTTATCAGTTACTCCTGAGATATATGATATTTTAATTGTTTTGATAATCTGATCACTGGATGGCCGGGTTTTGTGCATTGAAATTATTTAAAAATCCATTAAGTGTATATTTACTATGTGGCCAGAAAACCAAAGTGTCATCGACATATTCTTTGGGTCTTTCGGTAAAGTCACGTAGATAGGTTAAAAAAAAATATTATAACAAAAACCTGCAACGTTTCGATCACAACACAAGCGGTCGTCATCAGGAGAAAAAACAGGGGTCAGCCTCTAAAGGCAAACTGTTTATAAAGATTTAAAATGGGCATAGCTCCAGTGTCAGCAGCATGGGTGGAGGAGTTTATGTTAATGCGAGAAATTAAAAAACCATGTGCCTCCGCATTTAGGGCGGAGAAGTTAATGTTGATGTGAGGGGTTAAAAAACTGGTGAGCAGTGTACAGTGCTAAAATGGAAACATTACAGCCAGTTATGACTTAAACTGGTTGATAACGTACTTCCAGTCATTGGTGAGTTCATACCCATCCTCTCGGTTGAAATTGTGTCTATGTCTGTATATATGGATGGCTTCATGAACAAATCTTTGTTGATAGCCAGTGGGTTTGCAAAGTACCTTCGTCTTAGAGAAATCAATTTCGTGTGAGCCAGCTGCATTAAATCAATGATCAGCCTGCTCACGAACGCGGACCGAGACATGTCGCTTAGTTTCCCCAATGTAACTACTGCCGCAAACACGGCTTAGTTTGTAGATGCCGGAGTATTGCATGTCAGGGATCACATCCTCCACAGATGGGATCAGATCACGAATTTTATGTACTGTGTTGAATCGAACCTGGATCTAGTGTTTGCTCATGATTTTGGAAATCTTTTTGGTGACCCCTGCTATGTAAGGCAAGGTGATGGTTTTGATTGGGTCCTGAGATGGTTCTTTCCCAAGGTTGGGGTGATAGCTTTATAGATTGTGAAGTCTGAATATCCATTCATCTTGAGGGCCTGGTGTACGTGTTCCAGTTCACTGGCTAGGTGATTATGGTCGGAAATTCATTGAGCTCTATGGTGTAGAGTTTTGATAAGGGACTTCTTCTTGGATGGATGGTGGTGGGAGTCAGGTTTTAGGTAGGCATCCGTAGGGCTGGCTTTCCTGTAGACAGAGTGGCCCATTGAGCCATCTGGTCTCTTTTCAATTAAAACATCCAAGAATGGTAGCTTGCCATCCTTTTCCACCTCCATGGTGAATTTGATGGCTGGGTGTATGGAATTGATGTGTTTGAGGAATTGGTTCAGAGCTGTTCGGCCATGTGGCCAGATGACGAACATGTCATCTACATATCTCTTTCACAAGGACGGACGTAGATTGGATGCCTGGATGGCGTCTGTCTCAAATTTTTCCATGAAAACATTGGCTACAACCGGAGATAAGGGAGAACCCATTGAGATACCTTCAACTTGTTTGTATAATGTTCCATTCCAGGTGAAGTAAGTGTTGGTGAGGCAGTGTTTCACCAAGGCCAGTACATCAGCATTCAGTCCTTGTTGGACCACATCTTCAATTATTGCAATGGTGTCAGGCACAGGAACTTTGGTAAACAAAGATACTACATCGAAACTAACGAGCAAATCACCTGTATATAGTGATGTATCCTTAATTAATTATACCAAGTGAGCTCAGTTAAGTACAGCTGAGGCGCTCTTACCAGTGAATGGTTGTCAGGTCTCAGACAGAATCGGGCCAGTTTGTAAGTGGGTGAGTTAATGGTGGAGACGATAGGCTGATGGGGTGTGCCTTCTTTATGGATTTTTGGTAAGCCATACAATCTGGGTGGTCTAGCAGTAGAGGGTTTTAAGGAAACCCGCTTGGTTTGTTCGATTAAAGATGTCGATTCAATAATGATGCTGTTGGTTTTTGTAACGAGCTACCATAATTAAATAGGTCCTGAATTTTGTTATTGTATATGGTTTTGTCCATGATGACTGTGGCATTGCCCTTGTCGGCAGTGAGGATGACAATGTCATCCCTCTTTTTAAATTGAGAAAGCTCATCGACATATCTAAACCAAAAAGATAGTTTTAATGTACTTGAGGCAAGTGCTCTTGTTTAAAAGTTTTCCATGTACAAATTTGCTGCTCCTTCCTTTTGTTTAAAGAAGTCACCTCTCCATCATAAATAAGTGTTATTTAGACAATGGTCAGCTAGTTTAGGAATATCTTCTGGTACACCTGTCTTCTGTACTAGTGTATCAAGTAATTTAAGTGACTCGTTAACTGGAACCTTAGTGAAAAGAGTAATTACATCGAAACTCACTAGAATATCATTAAGGGTTAAGGTACTACCTTTAATCAAATTCACAAGATGTTCTGAATTTATTATAAATGAAGATGTCCTACCGATGTAGAGCTGTATTTGTTTAGTTACATATTTTGCTAATTTGTATGTGGCAGAACCTATTGTACTTAATATGGATCGTAATGGGATACCGATTTTACGAATATTTGGTAGTCCATACAGTCTTGGTGGCTTTGAGGCCCGTGGCTTACTTTGGTATTGCTGAGTCTTGGGGATGAATGAATTTTCAATGATTGCAGGAGTCTTGCGTTCTAAAGTATTGGTTGGATCTCGTTTAATTTTAATATAGGTATCTTCCTCCAGTACATCTTTAATTGTATTATCATAATCTGTTCGGAACATCACTACAGTAGTGCGGCCTTTATCAGCTGCCAGAATTTTTATTTCTATATTTAATCGAAGCTCTCTTAAGGCTTTTGCTTCGCCAAAGCTAATATTTATTATTGGTATTTTGCTATTCTCGATTATTTTGGCAACATCGTGTCTAGTCTTCTCTGCCTCGTTATGTGTAATTATTACTGGCCAAGACTAATTATAGAATCAATCGAAATTAAGAAGAATACAAATAATTTCAACCGATGCGATAGCTACAGACTCAGCGCAGCCTGGAAGCATATTATTAAGTAATACACATTGCAATTCCTTATAGAGGAGTCACATACTAAGTGGCTGATTACTGATCTATTATATAATTACAACTAGCTGTACTACCCGGCTTCGCCCGGGACTTGTATCTACCACGGCCGGCCGCCTTTGTCTCCCCAGTGGCGATGTTAATACGCTACAGCAGTTACTCGTTTGAGGCAGAGTCGACCTAGGGGAGGTTAAAATAATCGTCACCGGTGGTGGCCGTGAGCGGGAATCGAACTGGGTTTGCCGTGTTGGTAGCGCAGCGTAGCGTTAAGCACTACACCCACCGCTCCTCACACACCACACACGCACACACACAGACACACACACAGACACACACACAGACACACACACACAGACACAGGCAGCACGCTAAGCACTACACTACCGTTCCCCCTACACAACACACGCGCGCGCGTCCATAGGTACACATACACGCGCTTGCTGCAGACACACACGACTTTCAGGGTGCGTACGGCAGTAAACGACTGAAATAATAAAGCGGCAATGCTGTGTAAGGAACGCCTTAGACCCGCATTACACATTTGTGTAATGCGAGCGTAAACACACAAACACACACGAACACATACACAATACACACACACATACATGCAGACACACAGACAGACACATAACACACATACATACACACACATACAAACACAGAAACACATACACACACATACATAGACACACACATACACATCCACAGACGTACATACACACATACATACAGGCACGCAGACATACACATAAACACATACAAAAAAACCCACATACATACACACACACATACATACACACAAACACATGCACACACATACATACACACATGCATACAGACACACAGACATACACATAAACACATAAACACATACACACATACACATGACCCGGCTTCGCCCGGGACTTGGATCCACCACGCCCGGCCGCCTTTGTCTCCCCAGTGCCGATGTTAATACGCAACACCAGTTACTCGTTTGAGGCTGAGTCGACCTAGGGGAGGTTCAAATAATCGTCACCGGTGGTGGCCGTGAGCGGGAATCGAACTCGGTTCGCCGGGTTGGTAGCGCAGCGTAGCGTTAAGCACTACACCCACCGCTCCTCACACACCACACACGCACAGACACACACACAGACACACACACAGACACACGCAGACACACACAGACAGACACAGACAGACACACACACACACAGACACACAGACAGCACGCTAAGCACTACACTATCGCTCCCCACACACCACACACGCACACACACAGACACACACACAGACACACACACACAGACACAGACAGCACGCTAAGCACTACACTACCGTTCCCCCTACACAACACACGCGCGCGCGTCCATAGGAACACATACACGCGCTTGCTGCAGACACACACGACTTTCAGGGTGCGCACGGCAGTAAACGACTGCAATAATAAAGCGGCAATGCTGCGCGAGGAACGCCTTAGACCTGCAACACATTTGTGTAATGCGAGCGTAAACACACAAAGACATACAAACACATACACACACACACATACACACAAACACACACACACACATACACACACATACATACACACAGACATACACATACACACAAACACACACATACATACACACAAACACATACACAATACACACAGACATACATGCAGACACACAGAGACACACATAACACACATACATACACACACATACATACACAGAAACACATACACACATACATACACACACACATACACACATACATACACACACACATACACACAAACACATACACACACGTACATACACACATACAGACACACAGACATAGACATAAACACATACAAAAAAACCCACATACATACACACACAGACATACACACAAACACATACATACACACATGCATACAGACACACAGACATACACATAAACACATACACATGACCCGGCTTCGCCCGGGACTTGGATCTACCATGCCCGGCCGCCTTTGTCTCCCAAGTGCCGATGTTAATACGCCACACCAGTTACTCGTTTGAGGCTGAGTGGACCTAGGGGAGGTTCAAATAATCGTCACCGGTGGTGGCCGTGAGCGGGAATCGAACTCGGTTCGCCGGGTTGGTAGCGCAGCGTAGCGTTAAGCACTACACCCACCGCTCCTCACACACCACACACGCACAGACACACACACAGACACACGCAGACACACACAGACAGACACAGACAGACACACACACACACAGACACACAGACAGCACGCTAAGCACTACACTACCGCTCCCCACACACCACACACGCACACACACAGACACACACACAGACACACGCAGACACACACAGACAGACACACACAGACACAGACAGCACGCTAAGCACTACACTACCGTTCCCCCTACACAACACACGCGCGCGCGTCCATAGGTACACATACACGCGCTTGCTGCAGACACACACGACTTTCAGGGTGCGTAAGGCAGTAAACGACTGAAAAAATAAAGCGGCAATGCTGTGCGAGGAACGCCTTAGACCAGCAACACATTTGTGTAATGCGAGCGTAAACACACAAACACATACAAACACATACACACACATACACACAAACACATACACACACATACACACACATACACACACATACATACACACAGACATACACATACACACAAACACACACACATACATGCACACAAACACATACACAATACACACACACATACATGCAGACACAGACAGACACATAACACACATACATACACACACATACACACACATACATAGACACACACATACATAGACACACACATACATACACACAAACACATGCACACACGTACATACACACATACATAGAGACACGCAGACATACACATAAAGACATAAAAAAACCCACATACATACACACACACATACACACAAACACATACATACACATACATACACACATACATAGAGACACACAGACATACACATAAACACAAACACACATACACATGACCCGGCTTCGCCCGGGACTTGGATCCACGATGCCCCGCCGCCTTTGTCTCCCCAGTGACGATGTTCACACACGACAGCAGTTACGCGTTTGAGGCTGAGTGGACCTAGGGGAGGGCCAGGTCCGTTTCAAATAATCGTCAGTGGTGGTGGGCGTGAGTTGGAATCGAACTGGGGTCGCTCAAGCAGCTTAATGACTGTTTGTACAAAGAACATATAAAGAATCGATTATAATAACCAGGCTACAGTCCACATTATAGACTGCCAGTACACGCAGTCAGCTTCATAAGCAGGCTAGAGTGTACATGATAGAGTGGCAGTACGCTCACCGAGCTTAATAAGCAGGCTACAGTGTACATGATAGACTGGCAGTACGCTCACCCAGCTTAATGAGTATTTGTACAGTGAACATTAAAGTAATCGATTGTTGGCACGTTGGGTTTAAAAGTAATATTAATAGCACACATTGTGGTGGGGGTGTAGTGAAGAGTAGGAAAAACTTTGATGAATTTACCTCAGAGTGGCGTGGTGGGTGTCGAGGCCTAGTAGCGTGCAAAGCCTGCGGCCTCGCCTAAAATTGTCGGCTTGGAAGAGGCAGGGTACGGGTGGCGTTCCTTCCCCCCCCCCTCAGCGCTCCAACAATACTGTGTAATGGCTATTATTTAATTAAATACGGAGCTTATGAAAGTGGCGAAGGCGTGGCTAGCCGTTGGCAGAAGCAACCGCCGTCCAATGAAACTGCAGCCCTTGGCGAAGGCGTCGCTAGCCGTTGCCAGGTCCAATGAAAGCGGCGAAGGCGTGGCTAGCCGTTGCCAGGGGCAACCGCCGTCCAATGAAAGTGCGTATGGGCCGAAATACACACACACACAGACAGACAGACATGAACGATTTTATATATATAGATACCCCCCCACCTCCACCTCTGATCTCGAAACCTGATGGGGTTCACTAATGATGACGTCGCCCTGCACTATTTAAGACTGGAAGCAGGTGGATGGCTTCACTATTCTGGCAAATCGCCCAATGATGCTGGATGTAATTACCATCGAAACGGCGTACTCAAATTCTAAATGTTGTGGATTCACCCTTCAAACACACCGGTGGGCTGAAAAAATAACTAATTGGCGTTTTGTTAACGTGACACATTTTTTATTAATTGGCCGTGCCGGGTGGTGGAGGGTTGCGACACATTTATAATAACGCGATCTAACCCTAAGCCTACGTGTTAAACTGACAAAGGGCTGTAAATTATTATATTTTGAATCACACAGTGGCTAAGGTGAAGCTGAGTTTACAATGCAGCAGAGTTCTGTATTGTAAGACTGAGTGCAAATCTGGCAATGGTTGATTTAGCCCCATAACAGTCATCATCATTATCACTATCATAATCCTTTTACGGTCCAGATAATACAGCAACATAGACAACCAGGGGAGGCTCTACCACCATGTTGAAATTCAAGAGAATAAATAGTCCCTGTCATAGGAATGTGGAATTTACACCACACCCAACCTTGATTTGAGGTTGTAGATAGTATGTCCTCAACCATTGGACATAAGTAAGGATAATAACCTCAATACCTACATGCGGTTTGATTCAGCTCTCAGAGAGACTCAGAAAACCCAGAGTGTTTGAACAAGACACCATGGAGGGGGCAATGTGCTTCTCGCCCTGCCTCCTGTAACGACGCCACCTTCATGCGGCACGTCGGCTGGATGTGTGCAATGCCGCCTATGGTAAACTCATGGCCTTGCCTCTGCGGCGACGCACTGCGCACGACTTACTTCTGTGAGTTGATGCCTTCAATGGCTTGAATCATTCTTTCGTTCAGCTCCTCTTCAAAACGCCTTCGCTGGGAGCGACTCCTTTATTAAACACAAAGACAAGATCCCCCGGATATGGTTAACAAATTGTTGGGACAAGTGCTGTTAGCGAGCACCTATGAAGGCCGGCACAGCACACGTGGGGCTGAGTGGCCAGCACCACGCCCGGCCGCCTGGTTCTCATGTAAGGCTGAGTCGACCTAGGGAAGGCCCAGAACCGGTTCAGATGACCGTCACTGAAGTTGGCCATGAGCGAGAGTCGTACTCGTGTCTCTGGGTTCATGGCACAGCGAGATAACCGCTACACCGCTACACTATCACTCCCCACACACACACACATGAAGACAAATTGTCTCCCCTACTGCCATACAGATTCCTGGAGAAGTGCCACTAGCAACACGTATTACGGGCGACGTGACTCGCGAGAGGGCGGCATCATAAGCACCACTCCCAGCCGCCTTCATCTCCCCAGTGTTGATGGTTTCACACCGCACCAGATACTCATTTCAGCCTTAAGTTAACCTAATGGAGGCCCAGGACTGGTTCAGATATATATTTCACAGATTTTTAACCATAGCTGGAATTCAAACTCAGTCTCCAGGCTTGCAACAAAGTGCTCAAACTCCTGCGCCGCTACTGCCCTCACTCAGAGGACAAAGCTAACGAACCTGTGTGACAGGAACCCGAGATGATGAATGTTATGTAATTGCAAATGGGATCCTTAGTTTACATATTATTCGCTGATATAAGTTACAGATTTATTATGTTAGCATAATATGACACTCTGGCAGCACTTAAAGTGCTCATGTTTATTCTAAAAATGCAATTAGCCTTATTGCAAGTATTTATTTGAAGAAATAAATAATAGTCCCCATTTTGAGTTATAGACTTTCTATGAGCAAGTGCTGATGATGAGCACACATTAACTCTTTTCCTGTTCCGATCACGTACGTGATCAGTCTTTCTTATGATTCCATTCCGATGACGTACACATACGAAGTGAGTAGAAAAACTGAAATAACTTCATCAGTACTGAGGCTGCCACAAGGCCATGCCGGAGGGCGTGCAGCACAATTTGGCGACAGCTATCGTCGAGTGCGGCGGTCGTGTCGCGACAGTTTTCTGCGGTGAGTACAATGTCTTTAAAAACAACGGCGCTACACCGCTCGAAATAAAATGAATGCTGAGCCGCTGGCGTGTTCCAAGATTTAGCGGTGAACGGGACACCCACCCTGCAACTTGCAGACATCTTGGAATGGGAAATGGTGAAGACCAGCATGGCATGTGAGGGAATACTGTGGCCAGCACCACATCCGGCCACCTGCGTCTCCCCATCGGCGATGATTGTACACAGCACCAACTAATGGTTTAAGACTTAACCAAATGTAGTTGAAAGCACTAATTTTAGTACAACATATGAAAACATTCACATCATATGGATATAATTTTGGCCAGTGAGAGAATAAAAAACTGAAATTCGGATGGCAAATACTTAAAATGCTCATCAGTCGTTCAACCCTCGAGGGCCAATGACATTGGCTCCACTTTGTGGGACGTCAACAGTGATTGTACTATGGAGAGATTGGCTCCACCAAAGTCGTGCAGAGTTTCTACCACCGGCTCAAGGACACCAACAGAGATGAGCACTGCCCATGAGCAAGGGTGACCTTGGAACTTTCAGTTGGCACTACATATATATTAGCATCACATTCTGGATTTTAGCATCACATTCTAAACACACATTGTCGCGAAATTGGTTTCAAAGTCAACGACAACTGGGGTGATCAATGAATAAACACTTCTGTAGACTGAAATGATTTAAATTTATCAGGACATAACCACCTCTGCTGGCAGAATGTGGGAACAGTGTTTGTGCTTGAAGTTCCAATTTAATTAGGAGTCAAATTACTTCAAAGTAATTGGAGGCTCTTTGATCCCTGCAAGTGAGAAATGTGTGCGGCAGCGAGGCTGAGCCCAAGGTTGATTTCAAAGGCTTTGTAGGCCAAAACAACTCGAGGCCCCTCGGGGCAGAGGAGCCCTTTGCTCGAGGGCAACCTCCACATGGGGGAATGTCTGCCAATGCTCTCAAGAGACTCAAAGGTCGAAATCAGAATATGTATTCATATTGGAGGAATGTGAGGAGCTATGAAGCTCTTTTTCGCATACGTCCAGTAGGCACAGGCCCGGATCAGGCAGGGATGTGACAAACATTTTTTCGGGGGAATTTCACAGACTGAACAGGGAGGGGGGGGGATCATGAGGGGTCGTCGTGAGGGGCTGATTTACGAGACGTTTGTTGGGAAGACTGCTAGTGCTGTCCACCCCGGGAAGGGTGGAGGGGGGGACACTATCTCTGGGTGGACCGAGAGGGGACTGTGGGGAGCCCCTATACCGATCCCTTGGTCCGGGTGATAGCTACCAAGTCAAAGGGTCGTTTGTGGATGAGAACGGGCGGAGGAAAGCCTCCGCGCCTGCACTCGTCCAGAAGCAGAACATTTTTATTGCACACGGAGCACAGGACGTTAACCGGGCTTCGGAGTTAATGACTTAATTTTGAGCCTTTGATAGAGTTAACGTGCTAATTCCTCTCAACGCCTGTGTCGGTGCAAGTGCTGTTGCATGTGAGAACGTTAAATGGTTGTTGCTTTTTTAGTTGGAATTGGCGCTTAGATCAGATAGTTGTAACCAGTGCGACTCTGGTCGTGTTCTCGGTTCTCTCGTTGTACGGACATCAACGAGTGAAGTGCCGACTCTCGCCCAGCGCACGCTGAGTAGCCACTCTCAACAGTGAGAACATGAACACCTTCAATTATAAGACTTTACTGACCTTTCCCTCGATGGGTTAATCTGCACCATCTGAATGTCCTGCAGAGAAAAAACCACACACAATAGACACGTAAACAAGTAAGCCAATGTTAAGGCATCTGCTTTGAAGAATGGTGGGTTTAAATATAGTGTGGTGGTGTTTCATTCAGACGCTGTCTCCCCGACAGACCTGGTCTTCACCTGAGGACGGCTGCTTGCGTTGTGGCCGAAACGTCGTGAGAATTATTTTATTATGTTTTATTTTTATTAATTTATTAATTCCCATTACGTGACTTTACCAAAAGAACCAAGAAAATGGTGGGTTTGTAAGTACTGTACTGTGTTTGTAAGAGCAGCTGTCAGGGAAGCACAGACGGACACTGCTAATTAGGCTTTGTGTCTTGTGCGACAAGCCAATGCGTATGAGGTTCCGGGTTCGGAGTTCTGGATGGGACATCCGCCTCACATTAATTTCTATTTATCAAATTTGAGATTGCGTTAGCGTCATTCCACTAAGTGCACACTCAGTCGGTTGCTTCATCCAAGTGTTAAACTTTTGATTGCGGTCCCCTCACACCCTGCGTATTTTCTCTGGATAGTATCGTTACCTCTCCTGTGCTAATATAACAACCAATTGGCTAAAGTTCCCAACCTAGGCCCCTCCAAAGTTTTTTTGACTTAATGAGGCTTTCTTTGGGTAAATGATGACATATAATTTATAGATGATTAATTATTGTAATTATCGTTTGCTCGTCTTGGCGAGCCTGGCGACAGCCGCTTCATCAGCAGCGTGGAGGGGGGGCCCTGAGTCCACCGTTGAGTGACGTAACATTTTATTTCGATTTAAAGCTTTTGTGACTGCAGGGATTCATCTTTTTATTATTTTATTACTTCCCTTCTACGTGACTTTACCGAAAGAACCAAGAAGATAACATTTTATGTTGCTCAATGTTCAGGGGCTTTGGAGAGCCAGATCATTAAATGTGTGGCCCGAAACATGAAAGACTGAACTACAGATTCCAAAAGCACAACTGCCGTACGGTACCGTGGAAAAAAGTGAAAGAGAAAAAAATCTCTCAAACTATGAAAAAGGCAATTTAATTACCCAATAGTCCGTGGTGATTGATGCTCAGTCACCTAGTGAGTTCTCAGAATAATTACTTCTGCCGGGATGGGTTTATTAACATGAGTGCGAAAAAGTAAGTGAACATGCGTGGTGCTGGAATGGCCACGATGTCAAATTTGAAGAAGAAAAAAACAGTGGCAAAAAAATTAGCTTTTAAAAGCCCTGAACGAGGCCAGCTTCTGGATAGGGAAGTCAACGATTGTTAACAAATGGAAAACGTAAACATAAACAAAACAATGCCAATGGAATTCTACAAATAAATAATGGAACTATCCAGAGCGTTGCGTGACTTAATGTGTAATTCACCGGAAAAAGAAGTTAAACTTGCAATTATATGAAAGTTTTTTTTTATATTTACAGTTGCAGTGCTGTCAAGCCTCATTCATTTCAGGCCGTGACACGTGCTATTATGATGAACATTTTTAATAAAAAATGGATAACCTAAAATTGATCAGGAGAGGATAAAGACAAATCCAATACACCCCACACAACAGGAGGGGGGGGGGCGATGCTGGCCACCATGCCCCATTAGGGGCCCTGCCACGCATCATCCGATCAAGTTATATTTGAGTGTATGGCCGTCCCATGCATTTACACACACACACGTGTCCTCACACACGACATCACACACACACACACACGTGTCCTCACACACGACATCACACACACACACACACAGGTGTTCTCACACACGAGATCACACACACGTGTCCTCACACACGACACCACACACACGTGTCCTCACACACGACATCGCACACACACACACACACGTGTTCTCACGAGATCACACACACACGTGTCCTCACACACGAGATCACACACACACACACACGTGTCCTCACACACGAGATCACACACACACACACGTGTCCTCACACACGACATCACACACACGTGTTCTCACACACGAGATCACACACACGTGTCCTCACACACGACATCACACACACACACACACGTGTCCTCACACACGACATCACACACACACGTGTTCTCACACACGAGATCACACACACGTGGTCTCACACATGAGATCACAAAAAGTCGTGTCCTGACACATGAGATCACACACACGTGTCCTCACACACGAGATCACACACACACACACGTGTCCTCACACACGAGATCACACACACACACACACGTGTTCTCACACACGAGATCACACACACACGTGTCCTCACACACGAGATCACACAAAGAAATAAGAAAATGGAACGTCAGCCACTGGATTAACACTCCAATGATGATGAACATTGCCCAATGTTCATTGGAGGATGAGCATGCTTGAGGTCTTTGATGGCTCATTATTTACATAGAAATAAACGTTATACTTTCCTCCTTTTCTAATCCACGCTGTTTTCTTGGTTCTTTAATGGCAATATTATTGATATATAGCTATGAAAACACACACTGTACGTTGCGGCATTTCAAGGGTCAAAGCTAGTTGGTATGCTACAAGCCACTGTTTATAAGAGCATGAACAATGTAATAGGTTAGGGAGTTTTGAGGACGCTTACTTTCCACAAGGGGCTGTCCCCTCGTGGATGGAGGATAATAGGGAATGAGCAATTCATAAGCACAAAGGTTTGACAGCTGACAGCCACGAATAACAGTGCAAAACTTCCTTCTGCTTGGCAACTCTGCATGGCTGTGAATGTAAATGTTGTGTGAAGTCATCAGGATGTTTGAAAAAATCAAAACAAAAGTATGCGGTGGCGAGATGGGCACCACAGTGGCGAGATGTTAGCTACCTCGCCCGGTATACGGGAAGTCGTGGACTCGATCCAAACCCTGACGCCTGCATATTTGGCGTTTGAGTGTTCTCCCCGTGTCGCATGGATTTTATCCAAAGTCCTCCAGTTTTTTTTTAAGAATCGACATGCGTTTCGAATATTTAGCTACTATAAATGTCCACGTGATAAACCACTGCGTTGAGCTATCATTTGTGGCCAGGTCGCTTCTGGAAAAGAGCTATATGTAGTACCGTATAGAAAACCTCCTTTGCATTTTAAGCGCCTTTCCCAAGTGAGATATTAGGACAACTCCTCCAAATACAAATCGCTCTGTCTTGCATGCACATGTACACGCACACATGCACGGAGGCACAAAGCCCCCATTTATACATACGGACCATATGGAAAAGCAGAGTACTGATTGAGGCTGTCGCAGCTCATAACACAAAGGTGGTCGGGGTGCTCAGAGGTCAGAGTTCTGAGCCAACACCACCGAGGTAATGAGTTAGTCCTGGAAGGATTCCGTGATTAAGCCAGGTTCTCAAGTGTAGAGAGTTGCTGGTCTCAACCCTGTCACTAACAAAAGGCCAAAAGAAGATACCCTATCATATTAAACCTTTATTTTCCACTTGATTTGGCTAAATTACAACCGTAAGAATACCAAAAATATATACTGGTTGTGACAATCATGTAACAATGTCGTAGCAGAAATTCTGGGAACACAATTTTTGTAAATAATAAAAAGGAAACTTTGAAATATGAATTCATAAATAATGATCGCTTCCAACAAGCCGTGCTATCCCTCATAGAGTGCACCGGTTATTTCATGATTATGAATGGATTCTTCATGTTGTGACACAAGACCGATAGCAACAATGCAATAACCGACCATGCACATTCTCATTAGCTTGAATTTAGTTGCAAAACCTTTTCCGGTAAAAAGTGAAATTATTTTTATGGATTAAGTTCCCAAAAACCTCAGATGGCCAATGCCACTGTGGTATTGGGGTTGTTTAATTAAAGCAGTATAGAATGGCAGTGCCAGCTGACAGAACTTATATTTTATTTGTGTAGTCACAAATACATGTTTTGTTTCTCAGAAAATTATTATCTCACTTTTTGTTTGCTATTTGGTACATGCAAGGTTGCATAACCTGGTTATTATTCTCTAGAGTAAGTGATTCTGAGCCCAATACCCGATCAGCTGTAGGAATTAGAATTCACTATTGGAGCAATTGGATCTGAAAAAAAAAGTATCTTGAAATCTAATACCGGAATTAGATTTGCGGAAGTAGACCAGCTTGGAATGATGTTTGGGTCTGACTGGAGCTGACATGATGCGTCCCACCAGACCCTAAACCGCTCACCGGGGGATACTTTACCATTTGCCATTTGTATTTGCGCGCGCGCGTGCGTGTGCGTGTGTGCGTGTGTGCGTGTGCGTGTGTGCGTGTGCGCGTGTGCGTGTGTGCACACACGCGCGTTCGCTCGCGTTGCTGCGGCTGCCTCACCACGGTGCAGATCTTGCCGTTGGAGGAAGCAGTGGGGTCGCAGGGCACGCTGTCACGGTGCTGCAGGTGAGCGAAGGGCTTGTCCGCGCCCCACGACTCCAGGTAGCGCGTCATGCGCATGGACGCGCGCATTGGGTCGCTGAACTTGGAGCACTTGCACGACAGATGAGGGCTCTCCTTCTCGCCCTGGAGGTCAACACGGCAACCCAGGCGAGAAAGGTGAATATCTATGGGCCCTTTATGCCAGTATCAAAGTGTTAAAAGTAAGAATAGGTTTTATCCTTTATGGCAATAAAACAGGAGGTGTTAAGGTGTTCAAACACCAAATAGATACCTTTTGCAAAGAATCAAGTCTGTGTTTGAACATCGTAACACCTGTTGCCCCCCCCCCCCCGCCGCAATCTCCGCCGACGAGCACACCTGCGGGTTGATGACCAGGAAGGTTTTCATGCCGGTAAGGTAGGGGTCTCTCAAGACGCCCCTTCCCTCCTCCACCTCATACGCCCCGTGGAGGTGCTCGAGCGTGGCCTCTGTGATGTGCACCCGCCTGCAGCCAGCACACAGGTCAAGCCGAGGGGCCACCACGCACACACACGTCCTAAACTCCACGTGCAAAGACAAAGATCCCCCCTGTATAGCCTTAACAGACTGTTGGGGCAAGTGCAGTTAGCGAGTAGCAGCTATGAAGGCCGGCACGGCACACTGGTGGGTGGCCAGCACAAGGCCCGGCCGCCTTTGTCTCCCAAGTGGAGATGTTTACACACCATACCAGATACTCATTTGAGGCTGAGTCGATCTAGGCGAGACCCAGGACCTGTTTAGATAATCGTCAATATGTTGGCTGTGAGCGGGAATCGAACGGGTTCGTAACGCAGCGCGCTAACCGCTACACTATCGCTCCCCACAACTACTACCGTTGCACCGAAGACAAAGATCTCCTGTGTAGCCTTAACAGACTGCTGGGGCAAGTGCTGTTAGCGATCGCTGATGGCCAGCATAATCATTTTCAACAAATTAGGTTAAATTGGAAAGCATTTCACCTTTCCTACCCACACTCACTTTGGTAGAATGAGCAGTGCCTTTATCATAGTTGCGTATACTAATAAACTAGCAAGTGTGCATGCACAGTAGCTGTATGCATGTATATATGTATACTTAAATACCAGTAACTCACAGTAGTTTTTCTCACACTTTTTATTAGCTTCAGTGTAAACATTGTTTGAATGTTCTATATATATTTGGATTCCATACCCATCACAACTTTCATATGCCAGCTGTTGTAGGCCTAGGTTTAAAAATATATAATAAATTGCCTCCAAATGTTGCATGACCCAAAGTTCGCAATTCAAAGTTTTGAATGTTCTTGTTGTAAACATGTACTTAACTACGCATGTCGTATATTGCAACTTTCTAGCTCTTTTATAAAATCCTCAGAATGTACATCAATCACTCATAACCAGCTCTATACACGAGATACCAAATAGGGCAATTTCATTATTGATATGTATGGTGAACTTCTTTCGCACTGTACATAGCCAACCGTGCCAATCGAGATGGTGCGTAATCATTTAGTGCATTTTTTTTCTGTACTTTCTGTAATTCCTCAGCATGACTTGGGATCCCAAGGTGTTCACGAATGGCTCTTGACTTTCACACCAAAACACCCAGGAGCATTTGTTGCATGAGCCACATTATGCTGTGGAAACTCAGAGAAATCAAAACTGTTCCAGATATTTCAGGGAATACAAAGGTTCGGAAGACCCATTGATCATGGACGTAAAATACTACGTTATTTTATCAACACAACAGCTGCCTTCTCTGACAAGGCAGGAGAACTTCTTTCAACTGCAGCCCTTATATATGTCATGTTGCAAAATACATTCTATTATCCGCGAGTTATTCAATATTGTTTTTTTAGGCATTGGTGTGCCAGTTTCACACGTAGGCTTTCACGACCAATATAATCCATTGAAGAGTTTTTTTTTCGGTTAGATCGCGTAAATATATAAATGTGTCGTTAAAAACCTGCCACCGCCCAACACAGCCAACTAGTAAGGGTTGTCACGTAAACAGAACATGCCAATTCGTTACTAGCACACTAGTGCCAAATCTGACTCGGATGTTTTGTTTTTCCAAACCTCTTTGCTAGTTTATCAGTTACTCCCGCAGTGTACGTTATTTTGATCCTTGTAATTACTTGGGCAGTTTCAATGCTCTTTGTGAATCTGGTGTCTCGTCGTTATATGTCCCATGGTCTGTTATGGGTGATCACAGTCTAAACTAAACCATTTTTTATTTTACCAGTTATGGTCCACTGAGCTATAAAGCTCTTTTTTAGACGCGACCTGGCCACAAATGATATCTCAACGAAGTCGCTTGGAATGCGGAAATTATAGCAGCCAAATACTCTCAACGCATGTTGATTCTAAATGTGGAGGGAAAAACCAGAGGACCGGGATGAAAAATCCACGCGACCACAGAGATAACACACAAACTCCAAATATACAACAGCAGGCGTCCGGATTGGGATCGATACCACGACGTCCTGCATACCAGGCGAGGTAGTTAACATCTCGCCACCACGATACTCCAGTTGCTTTATACGCTCCTATAAATGTGGGTTCGGACGAGCGGTGGAGACGGCGCGCAACGCTTTTCCACCTCTCTGTGAATTCACTTTCCGCCAAGCGTGACACGTACCCGGGCACACCGCCGGCCTCCATGTGGTTGGCGAGTGTCACGTCGTGTGACCACACGTCGTACTGCCACTTCTGCAGGCCGATGACGCCGCACAGCACGTTCCCCGAGTGCACGCCCACGCGCATGTTGATGTCCACCCCTGTGGCGTAGCGCACTTTCCTGCCATAGCGCAGCGACGCATGGGGGGGGGGGGGGGGGTCAAGACGAAGACAAGAACGCATCCGTTTTTTTTTATCGGCATCTGTTCTCTCCCAATTACATTTGCACTCGTCCATGGTTACTGTTCCCGTGGACTTCACTTATTGATTTCTCCTCCCATGTTAAGGACTCGAGCTCGCGGACGCTGACTGTTTCGTCTCATCCACATTGTGTTCAACCACCACACTGCCCGTCACAACAGCGCACTCACTCAACCACCACACTGCAGGTCTCCAACAACAGAGACAAAGATCCCACGTATAGCATTTAACAGACTGCTGGGGCAATTGCTGTTTGTACCAATGAAGGTCACAACAACACACTCATGTACTCACTCACCCACTACACTGCAGGTCACAACAACTAACCCACCCAGCCACCACTCACCTACCCACTCACTCACCCACCACACTGCAGGTCACAACAACTCACCTACCCACTCACTCACCCACCACACTGCAGGTCACAACAACTCACCCACCCACTCACCACTCACCTACCCACCCACCCACTCACTCATTCACAACACCACAGGTCACAACAACTCACCCACCCACCACCCACTCACTCACCAACGACACCAAAGGTCACAACAGCTCACCCACCTACCCACCCACCACTCACTCACCTACCCACTCACTCACCCACCACACTGCAGGTCACAACAACTCACCCACCCACCCACCACTCACTCAACCACCCACTCACCCACCACACTGCAGGTCACAACAACTCCCCCACCCACCCACCACTCACCTACCCACTCACTCACCACACTGCAGGTCACAACAGTTCACCCACCCACCCACCACTCACTCACATACTCACTCACCTACCCACTCACTCACTCACCACACTGCAGGTCACAACAACTCCCCCACCCACCCACCACTCACCTACCCACTCACTCACTCACCACACTGCAGGTCACAACAGTTCACCCACCCACCCACCACTCACTCACATACTCACTCACATACTCACTCACTCACATACTCACATACTCACTCACATACTCACTCACATACTCACTCACTCACCCACCACACCGCAGGTCACAACAGTTCACCCACCCACCACTCACTCACATACTCACTCACATACTCACTCACTCACCCACCCACCACTCACTCACATACTCACTCACATACTCACTCACCCACCCACCACTCACTCACATACTCACTCACTCACCCACCACTCACTCACATACTCACTCACATACTCACTCACCCACCCACCACTCACTCACATACTCACTCACATACTCACTCACTCACCCACCCACCACTCACTCACACTCACATACTCACTCACCCACCCACCACTCACTCACATACTCACTCACTCACCCACCACTCACTCACATACTCACTCACATACTCACTCACCCACCCACCACTCACTCACATACTCACTCACATACTCACTCACTCACCCACCCACCACTCACTCACATACTCACTCACATACTCACCCACCCACCCACCACTCACTCACATACTCACTCACATACTCACTCACATACTCACTCACTCACCCACCACTCACTCACATACTCACTCACATACTCACTCACCCACCCACCACTCACTCACATACTCACTCACATACTCACTCACTCACCCACCCACCACTCACTCACATACTCACTCACATACTCACCCACCCACTCACCACTCACTCACATACTCACTCACATACTCACTCACATACTCACTCACTCACCCACCACTCACTCACATACTCACTCACATACTCACTCACTCACCCACCACACCGCAGGTCACAACACGTCTCTTTCTACTTCTTCCCTCACGCTGCTCGACTTTGGAAATCTCTGCCATCGTCTCTTTCCCAAGTTATGGTTGCCTTTTCTCGATTGAAGAGACGTGCCGATATTTATTATAACCTTAACAGTAGCCTTCATCGATGGCCACTTGATGTCATGTGCCTCTGGGCCTCTGCCCAGAAACGGTGGAAACAAAAACAACCAACCACCCCCTTTTTGCATCGTCACGAGCTGAATGAATTTACATTCAAAATTATGCGAACAGTGAACAGTGAACCACATTGTATCAGAGGATAGCGCTCGTAAAATAGTATCACAGAACAATTTATGAACAAGCTTCGAAAGCACTCTTAGCCACACTGGGTTTTGCACGTTTTGATTATGGGTTGTGGAAAGGGTTCATCGCAATACAGTATCATCAAACCGAAACATTTAAGCCTCGGAGTTGAAATTGAGTCAAAATAAACGAATTTACCATCGTGGTTGTATTCTGCAGTTACCGGTTATTGATCTGAGATCATCAATTGTTAAACTCGGCAACTCGGTTTAATGGCAGGCGGCTGATGTCAAACATTGTTAACACATAACAACAAAAAGGCACAACACTCGGAAAAATTGGTGTCAAAACATCAAACATGAATCCTACGAGCGTTATATACAAAGCACAATATAAATAAGACAACGCCATTTAACATACAATCACAAGTAAAGGCGTTTCCCTCTTCAAAGCTGATGGAGTTGCAATGCCATCGCTGCTAATGATCCTAAACCAACAAACACGCAGTGAGTTCCAGAATTGAGCAGTTGCGGGGTATGAAACCAAAGTTCAATCACGTTGTGTACCCGGTAGGCAAGCAATCGCAAGGCAGCTGAGTGCTTTAGGTAAGGGTTAATATTTATAGTTGCAATTGCATGCCAAAAAGCTCTTTCCAGATCCCATCCTCTTCTTACGAGTCAGAAATCCACAATAATTGGCACTGCCCGCACCGCAGTGCGCGCAGTGTCAATGCAGTTACGGCTGACGAACCACGGGTGGCGTTTGAGTATCGCTGATGTTATCACGTATCGACGGAGGACCAAAGTCTGCCCTACGGTGAGCGCACCGGGTGAAGAGCATCCTTCTCTCGATCGTTCAGCCTAACCCGGTGACCGTCAAAGGTGGTGCAGCGAATGCTCGTGGAATCTCTCTCGTTTTGCAAATGTAACTCTCTCAAAGCCAGAAGCAAATGGGACTTAAGCCTACACTCTGGGTAAATTAACGTACAGCAGCTGGTGGAAAAAATATGTTAATGCCAAATCTGAAAGGTTACCCGCAATATAATCATTTTGGGAAAACACATAGAATAAATATTGTCCCATCTGTTGAAATTTACTGGGACCCGCCTGAAAAAATTAGGCTCTTCTGAGTAAATAAGTGTGATAAATACAGTACGTGTTAGAAAATACATTTGCAAGCACTTGTGTGAATAATGCTTGTTGCGTTGATTAAGTAGACCGTGTGTACATTTGCTTGCAGCTATAAACATTATAGCACGCAGCTCGGTTGAAATAAGCAGCTTCGAGCCTGGCCAGGACTTTGGAAAAGAAAATAATTGGTTGTAACTACGAGCGAAATACACGGTGTACTTCTGAAGCAGCAATACAGTGGCGTGTCTGTTCACGCGATGCTGTTAATTGGCAGTGTTCCCGCACCTCCAATTTCCCCGCACCTTCGATGAGCATGTTTGGCTACGTAAGGTGCGAAAGAAGTTTGCATTTTGACTGCTTGTGTTGTGGTTATTGCAAACATGATGCCTTGTATAAAGGTGTCAGTTTTTGTACCAGTTGAAAGGGTAAAAACCTATTACTAAGTTCAACATACATATATACAAGTCCACTGTGTCGTTCCCAATTAAATTAGCAAATAGAGAGTAACGTTGCAAGCAAACAGTAATTAAAGTTTAGATAACAAGCCCTAGATGCAGACTCCTGTATGTACTTTGTGTGCCTAAAGTTGACCGACAATAGAAGGGTTCCCATGGCTGTTACTGTTGGAGATTATTGGTATCTGTATGTTTACCCCATAGGTTTAATTAAAATCACCAAACTCAATGCAAGCGAAGGCCACTATAAAAGTACACTGCCTATTTATGGCTGGATTCACGCTCATTTGACAGGTATCTATATACATAACGTGTCCTAGTAACCGGTAGCAATGTTACACTTTAGCCTCACACTCCACACGGAGCTCAGCCTCTGCAGTTAAGTGGAACGCCGGTAATTAATCACCCGAGGTTGCGGATCGGTCTTGGTGGATGCATCAGGTGGAGGAGGGTGCTCAACACAACATTTGGCGGTGTACTCACGTGCTCCCAAAACATTGATAAAAAATGTATCCCTCATGGCCCCATTATTGGTCCCATAATATTTTCTCGACTTAAGTTAAGAGCAGGTCCAACTATTCGTGAAACGCAGCGCCAGCATTCACTCGTATGCTGACAATTACACAATTAAACCCGGTGAGATTATTACTGCTTCAGCTTCTGCCCGAGTTATATAAATGAAAATTCCAGCAATTAAACTCACATATAGACGGACGATTTTTTTTTAATTTACCGCTCGGTTGTCAGAATGGAAGCTAGAGTCGACAAAAATAGATTTGGGTAACCTGACTCACAATAAAAAATCTGAGTTAAAAAAATTCGCGAGTTATTTATTTAATTTAGATCTATGTTTTGAGGATGATATAAAAAAAAGTTTATTTTTATCATCTTAGAAACATGGCCAACATTAAACCATTCCTTTTTCTCTGTTTGATGCCGATTAATATTTTCATGGTTTTGTTTTCTTCTAGATTGGACTCTAGATAGTGCTTGATTTTCCTGTCACATCCACAGTTTGTTTCCAATGAGCTTCTAGGGTTACTCGAACACAAAAATGCATCCAACTCCTGTGCTGATATCACTGCACTGGCATCCAGTTTACTGTGGCGTTAATTTGAATAGATAAAGCACTGCACAGATTATCACCGGACTATTTCACTGAGATGTTAACTCCATATCAGTCCGTGCGTGCATCGATTGAGGTCAGCTGACTCTTGCCTTTTGTATGATCCAAGAGTAAACCTCAAAAGGAAAGGAGACGCTACATTCTGTTATGATGCCCCGAGGTTATGGATATCTCCACACTT